GTGATATTTCGAAATTGTCTCAAATTTTACTCGCCTAACGGCTCGTGAAATTACGTATAACAATTTCGAAATACCACTTGTGGTATTTATACGAAATATCACTACAAATCATGCTATTACCTATACAAATTCAATCTCTACTTTAATTTTTTTCTAATTTGATTTATTTTCACAAACAGTTTTCTCTTGACACAAGCCATCCACAAATTATGGTTATGTGGTTCTCGTCAATATCCCACCATCGGGAAAACTGACAGATAAACAGTGTTTTACTAACACTTTCCCAAAGAACACACACAAACAAATTTGAACCCTCTTTGTAATCCTTTTTTTATCCTAATGCTTATTACAGGAACCTGCATGGTTTTTAGCCACCAGTGAGAACAGAGTATACAATATATTTTGCCTGTCCTAAACAGGTTCTTAAATGGACTGTGTTGGCTTTCCCACTTTAGGTTTTGTTTTTGTCCTAAACAGGATGGGGTATTGGCCAAGGTTCTGATGAACCATTGGTGGCACCCCTGACCCCAGTGTCAAGCTCCCATCCCTCCTGAGGAGAAAATTTTGTTTCGCAGAGATGAAAGTTTTTTTTAATTACATTGAAATCACATTGAGATTCTTAATCACTTCATTGTAACATGAATATTTGGATGTATGTGACCCTGCCCACACACCAAACGGCTCATCATAGAATGGAACAAGAACACTCTTACAGCGGTGTTCAGTCTCACTTGCTTGGAGATTAGATCGAGAAATGAGGAGGCAATTAATTCTACACAAAACAGGATTTACTCACTAAAGGTTTTGTACTTCCTAGTTTAGCGACGTTAAGCATTCTTCAGGATATTTACTTTTTATTTGTTTCTGAATTGATTTAGTATGCGTGTTAGCGACGACCAGAAATACATGTGCTGTCGCAGGCTATATACGCGTGTATAAATACACGAAAATTCAAGGGCCTTGAATCCAGAGAAATTGCAACATTACCAGCGATCAAAAAAGTGATTTACATGGCACATCATTTCAATCATTGCCGAAAACAAACCGCGTCCTCATCACAAGACTCATTTGCATACAATGAAAGTTTACAACATCCGACCATCGCAGTTTTGCTAAGTAAGATTCTTCTTTTTTTTTTTTTCGACCACTCAGTACAGTGTTCAGTTGTTCCATAGTAATCAAGCTTTCAAGCGATGGACCGACATGTTTTCGAAAAGCTCTCCATTTAATCTTTCCTAAGCTTTCTTCGCAAAACATGGGTGGCTTTGGTTACACAACGATTCTTATTCCCAGTTTCCCGGGCCTCAGCTAGGAATGCCTCGCACAATGAACCCCCTTTTGTGTCGTAAATACGAAGAAAAACAGGTTGCACATTATGAGTCTCGCTGCTTACGCAAGCGAGACTAATTCTATACTCACGCTATCAAGCAGTTGTTCTGCTTCTTCTAATTTTATTTGCATTTCCTCTTTCGTAAACTCCAGATCTCTTATTTTCTCTCCCTGAGCTTCTACTTGATCCGTAAGAACACTAACTTGTAAGATCATCGATTCTTTTTCCGCTTCTAATCTACTGACCAACGAAATATGTGCTTCACCATTTGTCAAAGGCTCGCCTTGATGTCGTTCACTTTTGAAGGTTGTCTACATGAGGAATTGAATATAAAAGTTAAAAACAAACAAACAAACAAACATTTCGTCAGCAATTACGCAAGTAAAAATAAAGGTAAATTGTCTGCGAACAAAGTTATCAGTTTGTTTACCTGCATAGATCTCAACCAATCAATGAGAAGAGCAACGGTTGACTCAGGAACTTCAATTGCTGCCCTGGTATCAATAGGCAACTCTTCGACATGAGTCCTAAGCTCTTCCACTAGGCAGAGAATTCTATTGTTGGTTGTTACATGACCATGATACTGACTTTTTAAGCTTTCCATTATAAGTTGGTCATCGGAAATGAGTCCGTCCATTTTCTGTAAGGCTTCAGCTAACATCGACGCTGCGTCACTCGCTGCAGCCGCCATCTTGAATCTACTGCATGTAAAGTGATCCAGTTTCCGCTGAGCCGCCAAAACCGGAAAAGAACTTGCAGCACGTTTGGCATGCGAAATAGGTGGAGTTTGGAATGTCATCCGTGCGGGATAAGAGCTCATAACCCGAACAACTTCTATTTATTCGTGTTGCGGCGTTTTCACCAACCACTTTATTTTAAGAACGATTTCTGGCGCAACTCAAGAATAGTTTTTGAGACACAATCCTAAGAACCAATCAGCAAAACTTACTACAGACGGATACAGACCTGAAAATGGTATTGACCATATGCTCAAAAATACCATTTAGATTCAACACCAATGACGTTTAGTTTTCCTTCTTCATATCTTTTTACTTCAAATGCGGTTATAGACGGATGTTTACTTGAAAAATTGAGAAATCGACACTCTTTATATTTAAGAGTCTTAACCGACGTTTCGGCAATGCTGCCTTCTTCAGGGTACAAAGTTAGCCTGAGATCATGCGCCCCATCTCCCTATAATCCCTTTATGTCTCTCTTCCTCTCGCCTCGTCCGCTCTTTGAAAAAACGCCTGACCGCAGGTCAGGTACAAGTCCTACTACAAGACTAAATACCGTTGAAAAGTTCGTTAAACCTAGCTACCTAGATTGCATACTCGCGCACGTGCCACACGAAATACATCAGGGCGGATATCCGCCCTGAAATACATGTAGCGCGCGCCGGTTATAGACGGAGCCGGTTCTAGTATATGCATATACTCTCTCTGTATTTGTGGCTAAAGTGTGTCTGTACATCCAGTGAATAAAGACGTCTCTCAAGCTATCACTGTCACTTTTTATCGGTGCCATTTTCAGAAGATGGAAGGATGGGTCGCTTGTAAGTTTTCTCTTCTCATTGTGTTGAAGTTTTTTAAATTGCGATTCTTGCTTTGCGTGTGAAAGGTCATTCCTTACAGGAAAGGAACGTCCTGGGGAATGTGCTCATTGTAAAACATCGCGTCAAAAAAAAATCATCGATCGTTTATTGCGACACTGCTGTGTCGCATGGTCTGAAATGATAGAACCACACTCATCAGGCAACTTCAACTTCAACTTCAGCTTCAACTTATATGTGTATATTCACTTGTACAGTTTAAAAGAAAGGCTTTATAACGCAATATCAGACAAAAACAAACCTTTTTAAATTTAATTTACTTTGTTAGAGTTTAAGAACCAGAATTAAGAAATGTACTCCTTGTTGTTAACAGCGTTTTATTACCTGTAGAACAATAATTTTTGGAATTTCCGGTTAGGTCAAATTAGTCAGTCTCACACTAAATTTTGGGGGACGGAGGGATTGGGGGAGGGGTGCGCGAAAATAACTCTTATTGTTTCCTGCAAGAGAGGATTTCCTGCTTAGAATGGCTCACTTGCTTATTTTTGTTCACAATGGTGAAATTTGAAAAGGTACTAAAAAAAGGCTTCCAATGCTATGTCAAGCAATGGTCAGCGACAAGCCTAGTGGCCTGAGTTGTTGCAGCCACCCTCTCCCCCAGGAAAATTGGCAACCCAGTTAAAATGGCCTTTTGGCGATTCTTGTTACTTATAGTCAAGGGAGAGGATAGTGTTTAGCAAAAACATCGGTATAAAAGTGGCATTCTTCGGCAGAACGGTTCTAATAGCTAGAGCTATTTGAAAAGACCCTTTTGCACTAGCCTGTACCAGTAGTAGCCTGAAATTCATCCGATTGCTTCGAGTCGTTTTCTCCTCTCAACAACCAGCTCCCGCGCGTTTTTCGCATTTCTTTTTACCATCTCGGAGCCTGGAACAGGCTACTTTCGCACCAGTGCCACCAATCGTGACCTCATCGATTGATTGATTGTTTGACTATTGGTACTGAATTCACTACAGCTCAGCGGCAGCCCTGTTTCCAGCTAACCTGAGATCCGGATCTATTTTCGTTTCGCTTTGAAAATAACATTTCGGCGGGCACCGTTAGAGGGAATGTATGAGAACCGCTAAAATTGGGCCTGATCTGCTTCATCTGGTTTATGACCAGGGACGTTTCGTGCGGCATACATACCATTATGAGCAGCTCATATGAGGTTATCATAGAGCCGATAAAATTAAAACAGGTATGATAAAAAAAAGACAGTAAGAAAACCGAACAACTGAAGAAATCGGTCGTTGTTTGGAGCTCATTTTATTTGTAGATTGCTAGGGTGCACGTTGATGTGAATGAGACTTTCACAGCTTATCTTCTATGGACCAACTTTTACGGTAACGACGGTTCAACATCTTACACCATGTTTGTGTACCATGGTAACCGGTGAAATGGAAGCATTTCGACGATTCTGTGGTTCAACCCAGTGATGGATCTGTAAAACATTGCCTGACTTTATCTACAATGGATGCCAGCAATTCGGGAGAAGTGAAATGGACTTTGTCTTCCTCAGCTGTTCCTAAAGATGCCCGACCGAAGTATTCTCGTATTTCCGAGCACTTTCGGCACGTAACACCCGGTGCTTTCCAATGCTCGATGTTTTGTGGAGGAAAGCAGTGCAAATACGAAAACCCTGCTAAGATGAAAAGAGAAGAAATGGCAATAAATGGACTTTATTCTTCATGGTATGTATGATCCTAATTATACGGTTCGCCGCACAATCGCAAGAAACTCTTTTTGAGTGTACTGTCGTAGATGTATAATGAAGAAGACACAGTCAGGAATTTGTGTATTTCTCGTTGTATAAGCGACAGGTTTGAAAAAGAGAATTAATTGGCGTAGTCGAATAAACTTTTTGTGAGTCAGTTGCCAACGGGTGTTTTTGCTCCCACTCCACCCCCCACGGACAAACAGAATCCCTTATATAACAGTAAGCTTTTCATAGTCCCCTATATTTCCGAAGACCATCGAGATCGAGCGTTTTCTGTTACAGGCCGCCATCTTCGTTTCATATGTACCGAGTCTACTGTCTACTGTGCCACCCTAGGGGAGAAAGGATGGTGCAGTGATGAGAGCACTCGCCTCCCACCAATGTGGCGCAGGTTCGAATCCTGTTGTCGACTCCATATGTGGTTTGAGTTTGTTGTTGGTTCTCTCCCTTGCTCCAAGAGGTTTTTCTCTGTGTACTCCGGAAACCAATATGGCGGTCCGTGACAAAAAGCACTTGATCTTGACGGTCTTACAGAAAAATAGGGGACTGCGAACAGTCAAATAGAACAGTTAAACAAGGAACCCTGGTGAAACTAACTGTGCAAGGTGCAAAAGGGATGCTCCATTTAGCATGCTTCCCCCCTCCTGCTCAGGCTTTCCCCTTTGCACATCTCTAAACTGAAGGGGGGGAGGGGGGGATGGATATGGGGGGCACTCCCTTGTTTGGCCTAAACAAGTATGTGCCACTGAACAGGTTAATGGTTTTCTGTAGTTATTAAAGCAAGGAATGACCTACAATGAGCTACTATGAGCTACAATGAGTTAAAACAAGGACACTGTTACAGCAGCATTTAAGTTTAGTATGCGTGTCAGAAACGACGGGAAATACATCTGTGGTTGCAGGCTAAGCGCATGTATAAATACTACAAAATTTAAGGGCCTTGATTCTAGAGAAATTACGTCACTGCCAGAGATAAAAAAAATGATTTATGGCCGAATATATACCGCTTGCTCATTACCCTAACCCTAACCTTAAGACCCATTTGCATACAATGAAAGTTTACAACACCCGACCAGTTTGTCTTTTGCTAAATAATTAAGATTCTACTTTTTTTTTTTTTGACCACTGAAGTGTTAACTTGTTCCAAAGTAATCAAAAGGTTGGCATGATTTTAGTTTACAAATTAAATTACTTTATGCTGTTTGTAAAATGAAGTGAATCAAGGTGGTAAAATATTGGGTATCAAAGTGAATGAATTTGAAGACCTCAGAGCACACCTCTATCCAAACTTCCTTTGAGTGCCCCCTTCCCACCCCCCTCCCACCGAATGGATGCCTCCATAGTCCAAAAGCTTCATTTCTATAAATCAATAATAAGTTGACAAAGCATATTCTTTCCTTGGTATATATTACCAGTATTTTTTTTTGTTTTTGTTTTACCAAGGGTCACTCAAGACATTTTGGCCACAGCTCGTCCATCTACCGAGGTTATTGAGAAATATCAAGTGATTGATCAGTTTAAAAGGTGTGTTAGCTTATAACAATATCAAATGATCATAATTCTATAAATACATAAATATTACTATTAAGAGAGAGACTTGTCTGAAAATGACCTCAATGTAAACATTTCTCAGACAGAGCTGTTTTGGAAATTGGGGTTTTCATAATGTCACAAATAAATGGCTGACTATCATGGAGGCCGGGAAGCATTGGCAAATAGAAATGCCAAGCTTTGCTCCTGCTTTTTACCCAGCCATCAGGGATGACCAGGGATATTTACAATATTTTTAGTTTTTATTAGGTATCAAATCTGAAACTTTTGGAAAAAATTGAAATTCCCAATTGACCCAGGCTTGAGAGTCAAATTTATGTGAAAAATGCCTCCAGGGTGCTCTTAAAGTTTGAAATTTAAATGAAGATCCGACTGTGTTAACGCTTTAAACCCTAAGATCAAAATTTGAATTCTCATTTGTTGCCCATATTCATTTCCTACAGAAGTAGTAGGGAGAAGTTGATAAAGTATCAAGCAAAATTCATCTTGTGTGATCATGTTCACAATTCCCTTGACCACTCTGTTTTACAAAGCATTGATACTACAAGGAGAAATTTGATGCTGATCACTCTTAGGGCTTTAAGGTTAATGTAGTTACTTGAGGTTGCCAAGCACTGAGAGTCATAATCTGCAGCCATATTTAGGACACAAAAGGGAGGATTGGCTCCGAGGCGATCCTAGCAGCAACCATGGAAACTGGGAATAAGAATCGTGATGACTTTCATTGTTTGCAAATGAGATTCATGATGAGCGTGTGGTCTATTTTTGGCGATGGTTGAGTTAATGTGCGTAGTTGATCACGTTCTGGCTTTTTGGCAATGATGCAATTTTCCCCGAATCAAGGCCGTTGATTTTCATGTTTTCATACACGCGTATTAAAAACCAAATACCCTGAAGAATACTCAATAAAGTGGGACGTTAAAATATTATAGTGGAGGAAATCTTGTTTCATGGTATATTGAGGCATTACGTTTCTCAGAATATTGATGCAATTACTGAAACTCTACGGCTGAATAGATTCGATATTGCAGATTCACTTTGTTGTATGTTGAAATTAATTATTTTATTTTGTAATCATCTATTGTAACTATATTTTTCTTTCTATGTTATTCTCTGTAAATAGTGTGAAATAAATGAACCATGAACCATGAATTGATAGATTTTTGCAGTTGTTAAGATGTGAAGTGGTGTTGCACTTTATACATAGTTGAGATATCAATGATTTAACCTTCAACTACTAGAAGCAACTTCAACTACTCATCTGAGTGACATAATACGTATGTGTCGTGGATGTGTTTCAAGGCGGTGCTCTAAGGAAAATTGAAGGGAGCCCAGTGCTCTGAAACTGTAAAATCTAGGGCGCCCAGCATATGATTTGTATGAAAAATCTAAGATTTTCTAGTCGCCCGAGGGCAAAAGTTGGGCCCCAGGGGCCACCGGGCTCTGCTAGAGCACAGCCCTGTGTTTGTAACGGTAGCTTTGTACTTGACTGTCATGCATACTCTACCTAGTACTTCATCAGCCAAAGGAAACTACTGGTCTACAAAACAGTCTATTTATTTCCGAGGTTCTCTAGTTTGGGAAATGCGTATTTATTTATCATACTCAAATCTTCATTGATGTTTCCTTGACGTCGTAGATTTGCAAGGTCTCGATCTTTGCCTCATGGTATTGCCTTTGATTGTGGAAGATTGCTTGAAATTACAGCATTATTGCCAAGATTGAACTATAATCTTTTCCCATTTAAGTTTAGTCTGATTATTCTATGTACCATAAGGCAGTCAGTAGTTATGTGTAACCTATGCCTGCACACTGGCTCCTTAAAAATTTATTTGCCCATTTCTTAGCTAATCTCCAAGCAACCTTGAGTTAACACTTTACAGCGGTTACCACTAACACGCACCTTTGAAGGGTTTTTTCTGTCTGTTTGAACCTGAGTTTTTGTGGATGTCAATCAACTGTTTCAATGGTTTTCCACGCGCTCAGACAGAGAAGGTTCCCTCATCGCTGAATGAAGGGCGAATAATTTCGAACGACGCGATGAGGGCTTTTTAAATTATTTTATTAAGATGAAGGATTACATTATGAAAACAACGAGGTCTCTGCGAGCAGAGTGAAATAGCAAAAACATTCTCTATAGTTTACGTAACGGTTTTCAGGTTGTTTATCTATTTGATTGTATGAAAACATGGGAGCCGTGGACGAATTGCCAAGAAGCTAGTATAAATTCAAAAAAACAAGATATCACACCGAAACGGGAAAGAGTTTTCTCTGAATGAAGGCTGTTTTCGAAAATGAATTTTACTACTTATCATTCTTCATGTTATCGAATAGAAACCAGAACTAGCAAGAACTCAGACGAGTTGCGAGCGATTGAGAAAGCTTATGTGGTTGTAACTTACAGTGTGTAAATATGTCGATAATTTGAGTTTCCTCGGAAAAACACTCAACAAATTCTTTCTCCTCGTAATCTAATGAAGCAATGTCAGATCCTGCAGCAAAATACTGCAAATACAGCTGAAAACGCCAACATATTCTTCTGAGTGCTCAAGAAACGGAGAAAGAATCTTCTTTAGGCCAACGCGTGAAAAACCATGGTAACGGTTGATTGACGTCCACCAAAACACAGGTCTGAACCGAAGAAAAAATCTTTTGAGGGCGCGTGTTAGTGGTAACCCCTGTAACAGTGTCTTGTTAATCCTTGTCTTGGATATTCTTTTCTTTTTCCAAAGGAATGGAATCAAATCACTGATAAATCTTCAACATCCTGGAGAACATAGCAGTTGTGGATTTGGTCTTGAGCCTGTTAGTGGTTTCTCTTACATCCCAGAACACTTTATGCAAGAAGATAGTATGTGCAACTCAAGTATAACTATTTCAGACATAATAATTATCAAATTGATTACCTTTATAATCCTGTGGTATATAGAGGATTGGGTATATAATAACAACAGAACACTATTACCAAACCTTAGACTGCAAGCTGTTTGATAACATTAATGCTTGATTATTTACTTCTGTGTTGGGGTTTTTCAAAATTTAATAAAGTGCATTAAAACATAGTGAAAGAAGTTTATTATATTTCATTATAATCAATAAATATTACTTAATAAGTGGTTATAATCTGACATATTATTTTGTTAATAACATTAAATATGTTATGTTGTTGATCATTAATGTTTCTCTCTCTCTTCCCTTTTCACATGTGTTTGATAACTATAAAGTTTTCTTCTACAACTTTGGTTGGTGAGTACTCCTTTTCATTGAACTGGTGAATATTTATATGCAGTTATTATTTATTCAAAATATTTCTCTGTTTCTGATAAGTGGCTCAAATCCCCCAGCTAATAGGAACTACTTAATTACGAATGACTAATTATTCTTCATAATCACCTATTGTTAACCACTTGTAAAATTCTGGAAAATTGATAGCAAGGTGACCAGACATACAGTTTAGTTTATGCTGTTTAATATTTGAACCAGGGGTTTAGTTTCGTCATATGTGGCGCAGGCTAATTGCAAAGCTGAAGGGCTCCAAATTTTATTTTGCTCAGGAAGTCCAATATAACTATGTCCCTTTTGATGCTGTACTGCAAAATATGTGCTGTTTTTCTTTTCTTTCTGGCAGGAACGATTATGGTGTGCGATCATTAGAGTCTATTCTGGATATGGTGAAGGTTATGTCTTTTGCTCTACAGGAAGGAAAGGTGATTCATTCAAGAACTGAGTTTATGCAGGATCGACCCAATAGACACCGGTTATTTGTGACCTTATAAGTTCTCTTATGATTTCTGATGCCTGATATTCATGGACTGACTGGGTTAGCAGGTGGGAAATTTTGGTCATCAGCAAGCTTTAAGAATATAGCGTGAATGGAATTTGCTATAGCAAGGCCACATGCAGCCTGGAGTAACACTTTCACTTCACTGATGTTCAGGACACATAGAAACTAAAGAAGAAATCACAAACAGGGTTCTATGTTAGGTGGAACCATTTGATTTGGACATAATCATTGAAATGTCATGTCTCTTTATAACAAATAATTTAATTTCCTTATCTTTTAGGTGGCAATCCACTGTCATGCAGGACTTGGTCAGTTTCTGTAAATGTTGTTTTCTTTTTGGTTATAGACGTGAAACAAATTCTTCGATAAATTGCTTATACACTGCCAAAACCAAACCTTAATTTTATGAGTTGTCTTTCTCCATTCCAATAATGCATAAGGGAACCAGAAAGAGCATGAAAACCAAGGAAGCTTTTTCAACTGATTGTTCTTTGTAATGAAAAACTTTTATTGTTTTCTGATTGTGTTTACTGCATGACCACTTAGGATGCACAAGGCAACCAAAGAAGCAAACTCTTCTTAGTCTTGTGACAACTAACCAGAAAACAGGAACATAAATAAGGGGAAAACAACAGCAAACGAGTTTAAGTGAGTCACTGATTTCAAACACAGTGAGGGTATAAATTAAAGGATGATTGGTGCCAGGGAAATTAGTTTATATTTATTTATGCTTAGTAAAACAAGTTTGGGTAAATTAGAACAAGCTACAATCCACTTTTGCAAATCACCTTCCATTTACAACACAGAGATAATTTCAGCAAAAATGAGAGCGAGAGAGAACATACTTTAAACCTTAGAATGTGTCTTTGTTTTTTACAGGCAGAACTGGTGTCCTTATTGCTTGCTATCTGGTATTTACAGAGAGATTACAGGCTGACGAGGTAAAAACGTGACTGCATGTAACTCAGGGATTGTGTGACAGTCTGGCCTTCTTTTTATTGCTTTTTTGTTTCATTTAATTTTAGTAACGTTGTTTGGAATTGCTGTTTCTAGAGCTTCCATGTTTGTTAGTGCTTACGTTTTCCTTATTTTCTCAGGCAATACATCAGGTTCGATCAAACAGGTATAGTGAATTCCATGTAGGTGATATATTTGCTAATACTTTGTTTCACCCATAGCAGTATATTCTTCTATAAGGCAACATATGGATAAAAAATCTTGTGACTTAGTACTTGACACCAGGGATGAGAACTCCTTTCTTGGTGAGCCAACAAGACTTGCTGCATGACTTGGATTTTGGTATCTGGTTGTAACCAGGTTATGAGAGATAATTTTCTTAGAACTGGTTTTGTTTTATATTAAGTGAGTGTCTTAAAGTGAACCCTGCAGGATTTCTGACAATTTCATTTTTCATTCGAAAATGGTGTTAGAAACAGTGTTTCCATCAACAAAAAACAAACTCTTGGAGTCACACAGAAACGAACACAGTGTGCACACAACAAGCCAGCATAACCATACACTGAATGAAAGATGTATAACCTATATATATATTTTTTTTCTTGTTTTTTTTTTTTTTAAGTCCAGTTCTTGATGCACCATGAAAACTGAGAGAGTATATTTTGTAATCTTTACTTTGCAGGCCCAAAGCAGTACAGACTCGGGGACAAATTCAATGTGCTGTTGATTTCACAAACTTTTTGCACCATCTTTGGGTGGTATATCCTTCATGGTGAGCTTAATTCTTTAAAAAAATATTTTAGCTGTAACTGATATGTCAATTGTAAATTCTTAAGGCAGCTTGAAATGATAACATGACTCTTAGTGATTTTTCACAACTACAGTTAATGGTCGCTGATATGTTTTTACTATTATTGAATAAATCGTACTTCTAAAGGAGGCAAATCAGTGGCCCTGCAGGCAACCCACTCAGGTCCCTTCGTTAGTCAGGAAAAATGGAGAGGTCTTTAAAACACAGGAAACTGATATTCATACCGTTTATGTAGACAGAGCAACTTAGCACGAGCTAAATTAGTACCTACTATGCAATGAATGTAGTACTGACGTGTTCTGTTTGTCTTTCTAGCGCACCTAGTGCAAAGAAGTTTACCATGCAACAATATCTTAAGCGGCAGAGACATCTTTTACATGGCATGGAGTCACGAGTTCTTAAATACATCCCTAAGGTAGATGTTAAACTTATAGAAAACAAAACTTTTTTTAATATGTGTACCATTGTATGAAGAAATGGTGTCATAGGACTGCAAGGTGATAAGAAAATAATGATTATAATTGTGATTTACCATTATCTTTATCAAGTTGAAATCGATTTTGGCTTTGACTGGATATGGTTTATTATATTTCCGGTTTGCAGCTTTTTTTGTATCTTATTCTGTTGAATTATTTTCCCTTGCGTTAAAGCTGGTGTACTTATGTTGTTGTCGACTATTGGAGGTGGCTGGGGTAAAGAAAGAGGATGTCCCTTTTACTTGGACACTCTCCAGAGAAGTCAAAGCTGTTTTTGACGAAACGGATGAAAATGACACCATAAGTGAGTCTGCTGAGGATTTTGTTCAGCCTTCTATCTCAAGGGATATAGTAGATGCCGTTAAACATAACCCTTATGTGGATTCTGATAAGCCATCATTCGAGACTTCAGTGATGCAACGTTCTCAAAGTTGGGACGCAGTTCAAGAAGTTACCTTAAAAGAGGACATTGGTTATTATAGCCGAGGAAAGCATCTCAATGTGGAGCAGTTGACAAATGTAAGGCGTGGGTTAGAGCCTGCCGACAGTGATCAGAGGGCAATGTCGGATGGTCTTCCATCTAATCCTTCTCCACGCAGTGTGAAACTTGAACCACTTAACCTGTCAACAAGAAAGAAAAATAAAAAAGAAGGAAAAAGGGGGCAAAGAAACAGCAATGAAACAGTGAATGAAATGGTGAATATGGACAGTTTTTTAAGTTCGTTGAAACAAAATACGGTACAACCAGGAACAAATGACAGAATCCAAGCAGCAAAGTGCCTGTCATCAAGCGCCTGTGCTGATAGCAGTGTACATAATAGAGTGGAGAGAATAAAGGTGAGTGCCGGACTAGTAGCTAGTATTCAGTCGCCGAATGACGGTACATAATAGATTGCATGGAGAGAATAGGTTGAGCGGCAAGCTTTATTACTAAGTGACTGTACAAGTAACGCTTGGAATATTCATCGTTAGTATCATTTGTATGGTTGTTAGATAACGTTTAGATATAATCAATCCAGGGCTCCTCAGAAGACTAGAGGTTCAGTAATGAAGTAACTCCTCGGATTATACCGTACCAATAGGGATTCATTTCTAAGTTCCCTAGCTTATTGGCGGTCAGTTTTAACCCTTTTCTCCTGATTTCGCTGATTTTCCGATATTAAAAAATTGAGGCTCAGAAAGAGTTAGACACACTTAAAACAGAGTTACCCTGATCTCTTTCCTCAACTTCAAAATATTCCGCACTTTACAGTGAAACGTCTCAGCTGCGCCTCGTGGTTCCACTAGAGTTTTGAACATTTCTTAAGTCTATGAGAGCCAGGAAGAGAAATGTTGTTGATTTGTTAAATTCAAGCACATTTGATATAATCAAGGGAAAAACTGCCGGGCCATCATATGTGTCCCGGCATACATTTGTGAAGCCTGAGTTTCCGTGGTCCGGGTTTTTCTGCGGTTACTCTGTTTTTGCTTTCTTATCAAAAATTCGAACTGGAAAGTGTTTCTATTTATTTGAAGATACTGAAAGGGGCACAGGTTTATAAGTTCGTAGAACTGTTTAGTGTTACTCTCTCTAAAATAATGTTAGTTTAGTCTTTGGTTTCCTGGTTTCTAGGTATCGATAACGAAAGATTTCCGTTTCCATTTGCGGTTTCACTATTAAAATTAAAGACCCAACTCATGAATTCTAACCGTACAAGATTCCTGTTTTTCTGCTTAGCGTAAACTGAACAGCTCTGATAGCTGGGAGGAAGTATGCACGGAAACTGACCCCTGGGTGCTAACTCGCTTATTGTGGACTTGGTTGGATAATTTAGCGGTAAGTACAAATAACGGACGGAACCGAATACTGCTGGTATGGCTTAATGTTTCCAAGATAGCATAAGAATTAAGAGCTTTCTTTGTTTTTGATAAATACTATAAATCTTCTAATACTATAAGGAGATAACGCAGTTTTCAAAACAGCTCATCCTCATGTTGAGGGTCTTTTTTTTTTTCAAAGGAGCCGGTACTTACAAACAGCGAGGTGTCAACGTTAGAAGAAAACATGAATGATCCTATAGGAGCTGTCAAGAAACTTGGCCGTGTAAGTTTAGACTGCCGCCGCCGACAAATGCTTTCTTTTTCTCTCTTTCGTTCTGTCCTCTTTCCCTTATTTCATGCCTTGCCGGCCACTCCTAGCCCTTCCTTGTGTACATGTGACTAATATAGTTTTTCATTACAGTATCTTCTTTGCTGACGTCTTTAGTTGTATTTGTTATAGGGTGCAAGAGACACTTTAGAATGCCTGATAACTACTATCTGCGAGGTAATTCTGTACCGAGAGATCTGTAAATTTTATAGTTTAAAAAATACATTCTATCAGATATCTGTGTCAGGAATATTTTACCTCACTTCAAAGAGTGTGGTGTAAATCAGACACACTTAAAAACTTTACCACTCCGGCGTAGAACTGAAGTGAAATTTGAAAAAAAGCATGCAAAGAAATATAACGTTTCCTTCTAATACTTCTTGAACCGATCGTTGTGTATCCCTGTGCCGGCGGCCTGATGGGAAGCTTTTAAAATTGTCGTTGTTTACTGTGCATGACTGTGCAAGTAAAATTTTAATTTGGTTTTTAATTGCAGCTGGAACCTTTACCAGAGGAGCTGAGTGAAAAAGTGTTACGTCACACAGCCATGATTCTCACTCATAACAAGGAACTGTCTTTAACTCAAACCAGACGCAGGTCTGAGCAAAGTCCTGATACAAATACACAAGAAAACCGTGTAGGGGAAGTGGGTGATCTTTCAGAGTCATCGCTTTGTTCGTCATCATACAGATTGCTTCACTTCTTAAGACAGCTGATGAATGCACTGAAACGTTTAGGAGGTTTAACTTAGTGCAGCTACCTTACCGGATCGCGTTACGCGTATATAAGTCTTGAATCCTTTACCGTGCTGATGTCGTTGCTCTAACGGACTTTACAGCTCCCACTAGAAACTTGATTACCCGGCGTATCAAAAGTGAAAGAAAGTAGTGTTCCTAGTATGAATGAATGAATAAATGTCGTGGATTAGAGGGCAACAAGACGCACCCTCTTTACATATTTTATGTCAACAGTAAGCTCTGACTTCAGCATACAAGGCGCCACTGGTACTGGCCCTAGCACTCGCTCCTCGCCGCTTGGCGAAATGTCCCAAGCGGCAAGGAGCGAGGAGAAACGGCTGCTTCCTTTGCAGGTTAGATTGTCTTGTGCCGACAAAACATTTCGGCTGTTGAGGTCATCCAAACGCTGGGAATTATTTATCCAACACATTTGTTTGTCTTTGATTGGCTCAAATACCTCGGCTAATTCTTCATAACCAGCTATCATTGCCCAAATTAGGAAGACATTTGCCGCCTTATCATCGATGGTATTATCACGTGAATAGTACAGTCAGGCTGTCGCCAGAAAAAGGGAAGGCAACTATAAAGAAGCCCTGGTGACGAGGTTGCGTATAGTGATTCAGTTGTTTTGATAGAGTTGGAGCAAATAGCAGACAATTCTTTTCTGCAAAGAAGAAACAGCCGAACTTCTGCCTAAAAATATAACCGAAAAAGCCAAAATGGCAACTGCTATTTGAAGGCAGAGGGTATTATCCGCCTAGGCAGATAACACCCTACTCGATTTGTGTAATTCTTCATATCAAACTCAGCCTCATCCATAATTGCTAATTATTTTCATATGATCGCTGTGCGATAGGCCATTGTACATTGAAAGCATTAACCATTATAATATTCGAGCATATTGGTAGCATTTTTCCGGAAAATTAGGTTTTTTTTTCTCACAGAAAATAAAAATTGTCACATTTTTGAAGAGATATGACGACTTTAAAAATAATTCAAAGAACTATATTTAAATTTCACTTTAAAACAGCTGTGTAGATAATCTTTTTTGCTGTATTGAAATTATTTATTTGCTTGCGTTGCAGTTGTCATACCACTTACACATTTTCGTTAGTCTCACTGATGTGGAGCATTTTAGTGGGGAAACAAAAGCAAAATATACAAAGGCCTACTGTGTGACCATGCATTATATAGAAACCATGCAACATTTTTCGTGTTTCTTTCTCGATATTCAATTGAGGGAATTAACTTATTCAGTATCTATTGAATCCTTGACTGGATTAAGTACCTTATAAAATTGTATTTTTTAGTTTTGCTTAACTAATCAATTTTTATTTAGTTACATAGCATGCCGCACGGTAATTCAGTGAAATGTAAAATTAAATTGTGCTACGTTTTATCGTATTTAGTGCTGGTCTGTGTTGAACACTCTTCCTGAATCGGACGCTGTACCATTTTGTAATCAGACTGGACTTCACTCATTCAATCCATACCGCCGGAAGCGAAGTTTTCATCTAAAAGGCGTGTGCTATTTTCACCAAGTAAAGCCCATATCGTGCTCTCAACACCAACTTGATGACATTTGCAGGGTGGAATAAACAAACCCTGTAAACTTTAAGTTGAAAATGGTTTTCAATCTGAGTAACAAAAAGATGAAAGATGGACAAGAACAGAACGCAGTAACGTTTTCAAACCTGAACCAAAATGAACAGCTAATCACGTGCTGAACTATCAACTGATTAATGAACCATTTCGTAACATTCGCACAATAAGTTACCCTATATTTTTGAGAACATGGTCGTCAGATCTTGAGCAGTATGACCCAAACATGGCTAAGACGCTTTTCTAATATAAACAAGCCCAAAAATTGCTTGTTATTTGGACTAACATGTTCGCGTATGGAATCTATGTCCTAAGCTAGAAGTACAGTAAAACCCCGCGACTAAGAACCTGGATTTCTCCAAGTTAGCCTAAACAGGTTCTTATTCAAATGGTATAGTTAGCACAAGTTTAGGTTCTTAAATAGGTTCTTATTTTGTGAAGAAAAAAGTACAAAATACCTAAGAGTTTTTTATTTGTTCAGCTTATTCCTCATGTAAAATCTGCGTATATCATTACAGTGCAGTGAGAGTGATAAAGCAAAGAGAATTCTATATGTTGACCTGTCAGTATTTGCCCAAGTGTACAGAATTTTTCCATAGATTTTAGAAATTAAGAATCTGTTTTAAATTTTAGGCTTAACAGGTTCTTATATAGAGGGGGCTTAACTGGCAAATTTTAGTCAACAGTTTCTTAAAATCCAGGTTCTGAGTCACGGTATTTTAGTTGCTAGGTTTTACTGTTGTGGAAAAGAAAAGAGAGCAATGATTTAAAAGGAGAAAGATAAGACAAACTAATTCTTGCCGCACCCTTGACCGTGTTGAAAACCCCCATCTCAGAACTTCAAAAGCTAGCTGGTCCTGAGCCATCCTAAGTAACACTTCAAATGCAATGTTTTTAATTCATTGCCTCTCAAAGTTACCAAACAACGCGATGCCTTACGGGTTTATGACCTTTCTTTAAGCCGTCATTTTTCTACGGCGATTGTTAGAGCCACTTCAAATATTGTACATAACAGACAGTTTTTTCAAGTTGATGGTTTTTGTTGTCGTAGAGGTGAATTTGAAGCTACCCCTGCAGTGACCCGTAAAATTTTATAAATCGCTACGATAGCTAAGCCGATGAGCTAAGCAGAGTGACACGTACGTGGACTGCTTGCAGTCCGCCTTTTGTCTTAAAATCCGTCTAGTTCTTATCTCATCCAGCGCGATTGCAAACCACGACGTTGTTATCACAATAAGGGATTGAGACGAGATCTCTTAATTTTTTCTTCTCGGACTTACGCCCTCATTTCTCGCGGCTTAATTCGCAACTCGCATGCTTAGGTTTCGAGTGCAGTAACTATAACTTGGCAAAGAAAAATAAGAGACTGCTCGCAGTCTAACACGTACGCTGGTGATGATGGTGATGATGACTGGTAATGATTATGATGATGATGGTACATAGTTCGTAAAATCGTGAAAAGGTCTTGAATTTTAGTAGTTGTCTTGAAAAGTCCTTGAATTCACTACTTTGTTTACGCCACATCATTTTCTGTGAAATTTGATTCTAGAACATAGGATAAACGAAAGGTACAAAACAGAGAAAAAGTTCAAGGGAGTGAGACGAAAATAAATCGTCAGTATAAAACCGGAAGCAACAATATTTGATCTCTGTTTCTTTATTTCCAATGCTATTTCTCTATCTCAGACAGCAAGTCATACCCAGTGACTGCTGTCATTTTGCAAAGTCGTGTTGTTACGGAAAGTAGTGCAACATGCAACATAGTGTGAGAGATGATCAACCAGAGCTAAAGATGTAAAAATCGTAAATGACTACATTGAGTGTTTTAGCCAGTAGAGTGTTCAAAAGGGGGTCAAAGATTGCCAATTTACTGAATAAATGTTAGACCTTGAAAACTGTCCGTGAAAAGTCCTTGCGTGTTTCTTTGAAGTTGTACGAACCATGTGGTGGTGGTGGTGGTGGTAACGATAGTAGTGTCGATAGCAAGTGTCAATAGCAGTGGTGCCTGGCGCGATTTGTGATTATGATGACCAAGGTGATGATGATTGAGATAGAATCAGCCTGAGAATGGAGATGGTCTTCGAACGACCAAAAAAAACGACTCCCAGGCATCAGGGCGAAAAACCGCCGCCTGCGCGGAAGGACTGGGACGTCACTTACCATATATGGTAAGCAGCAGAAAAAACACAAACACAAGTGAGTGCTCAAGAGCTGTGACTCGTGCGTCAAACTGTGGCCTGCAATGCGTTAAGGAGTAGTTGATAATCTTCCTTCGTGGTGAAATTTTGATTGCGTTAATCCAAGTCTTCAGTAACCTGATCTCATAGAAATCCGAACAGGGAATTTCTGTTTGGTAAACTGAGAAGAGAAGCAAATGATGAGCTGATCAATCTAAGGTTAAAATGTTTCTGTTATTACATGGCACATACTTAAGCTTATATTCTATCAATTTCTACTCGAGCAATCGTGGATAAGAAACTCAGGATCTTTGCTGGAGATCTCGTTTAATTTACTGCCAATAACTCAGACTCCGTCGCTGACGTTGCAGAGGTAAGGGAAATGGAACCTTTTATATTATTCTAACAGCTGGCTCGCTCTAAATCTTACATCCAGTTATAGTTAATGATTAAATTTTACAAGCTTTTTAGTAATAACAACAAGTTGTTATTAAAAATATTATGTCTCGGCTTCCTTTACATCTGTATCTTTTTTTCTGTGGGATTTCGAATTGCTATCTCTGGCTTGGTTCCGTAAGTACGAGGAATATACGATAAGAGGCTTACAAGTCGCAGTAGACCTAAGGATTAAAAGCTGGTCTTAGCAATGGTTGTGGTCTAACGTACGTGCTCATTGTCGATCAGACGCCCCGTTGTCTGATGTCTCACTAACATTTAGTTACCTCAGTATTAAACGTTCGTGTTGTTATCGAAGTGCGTGAGAGGAGCAAACTTATGAAGCTGAGAACGAGCTGAAGATCAGATTGGTGGTTAAGCGAGAGGAAGGAACAAGTTTCATACGTATGAGTTTGTGACAATGTGGTCGACGATGTAGTGGCTCATGTGCGTAATAAAACAAGTGCCACTATGTTCACTAAGGAAAATAACATATCAAGTCACAAAATTATGTAGCTTCTATTTGCTACTTGAACAATCTTTTGTTTGCACGTACGCTACAACCAGCCGCTATGACACGTTCTGAGGAACAACATAATTTAAGAGAATATCTCATCGGAAGTGTGGTTTTATCATAAACAAAAGAATATTGAACTAAAGGATATATTGAAGCTCTCATGTTTGTGGTAGCTGATTGTCAAACTGACGTCTTGGACAAAGCATTACACCTTTGAGACACTGACAAAGAATAGCGACAAACCCTTCAATAGTTGTTTCAACTTTTAACCTAATTAACATCTATCAACCCTGCTGAAAACACATCACTACTGAATGTTAGTATTATGTCACCAAGTTTGCAAGTGATTTTTTTAAACTAATGAATGCCCTGCAGAGTCATAAAAAGAGCTAGATATTTGTATTTATAATCTGATGACAAACAATTTTGTACAAGACTTTAGGATAAAAACTATGCTTTGAAAGCATGACGTTTCGGGGACAACATGTTAATATTATCAAATGCAAATGAACAAAGACTGAAAGGGTGATATATAGAAAACAAAGGTGTGAAATGTAACATTAAGCACTTAAACAGACAGTTTCCAGTCCAGTGAAACTTGTCACCAAAGTATTTCATTCTTTTGTTCTTCACATTTTGATGTTATTTCTTCATTTTTAGACAACATCTGTAGTCTTTGTCCACTTGCATTTTATAATAGTGTCATATTTTCATTGCCAAAACGTTATGTTTTAACAGGGTTGTTTTTATCCCTAAATGATTTGTATAATAAGGGGGCAAAAACCCCTTTTAATGATGATTACTTTTACTATGCATTTTATTTTACACGAATCAGTAACCATAAGAAGAAGAATATTTGTTGTTATAATTTAACAAAGCATTTTGTGATTTTAGGGCTTGTTGACATGGCAGAGGGTGTTATAAAAACCTCTCAGTCAGTAGAAGGTAAGCAACTGTCTTCATCAACACTAGTTAGAAAGTGAATTACATAACACAGCTATGTAAACATTATTTTGTTGTTTGCAAGGAGTAGAAAGTGGGATTTAGAGGGGTAGGAAGTGTTAACACCAACACCATGATGTTAGGATTATATTTTGCTGAGGTCTGCTGGTCTGTTTTGGGCTTAAAATACTGTCAAGAGTCAGTCTGGGTGAAGTGACTTTACTCATATGGATCAGCTGACTTAATACTCCCACAAGCCCACCATTTTCTTTATAACTTGAAATTAAAGGTAATGGTTAATGTGTCATCTTAATTTTATTGCAGTTGTGGACAAACCACTTGAAGGCAAAATATCACGTGAACTTTTTCAGAAGTTTGAATCAAATTCTAGTCCGGCTCGGCCCCAGTCCTTACCTGATGAGCATTTCCGAATGAGTGCACAGTCTTTTACATCAAGCTCTGATGAAAATACAACATCACATGAAAACTTGAAAGAAGGGAAAAAGCATGTAAAAATAAAAGCGCAAGATACAAGTGAAGAACACCTGTCACCCAGTAGTACTGAAGAAGAGATTCTTTCAGATGAAGAAGCAGGCACCAACAAGAAGAAAAAGAAACGAAAGCTGAGATGGAAATGGAGTCCATTCAAGAAGATGAGGAGACTCTTTCGACACAGGAAAAGTCCTACAAGAGTTAAGTCTTGTGAAGAACTCCCAACAGGATGCTACAGTTCTACTAATCTGCCCTCAGAGGATAGTGGTTCCTTAATGAACCGAGCTAAATCAGAATCTTCTCTAGTGGAAACCAAAACCAAGACTTCTTGTGCTGACATAGAGATACATGAAAGGAGTTGCAATGTTGGTAACCCTGTGGACAGAACAAAGAGTGATTCAAGTGAGGTAAGCAACACATTAGAACAAGTTCCATCAAACAAACATTTTAATATGAAGCAACAGATGAAAAACATACTAGTTAATTATATTATTGCTGTATAAATTATTTATACTAGTTTAATATCAAAATTTATAATAATTAAGAAAAAAAACATCAAAGGTAATCAAAGAGAGATTTTTCAAAGAAAAAAAAATTTAAAAAGTATTAAAAACTGAGACAAATGATGTAGATGCCAATTTGATAGGAAAAATGCATTGGCATTCAAAATTTATTACAAGCTAGGTTGATGTGGCTGGGTATGGCTGCAGTAATACTGTGAAACCAGTATTAGGGGGACACCCACAGGACCTGGTGTCCACTTAGTACAGGTTTGTTTTACTTAAAATGTGAGGGAAAATATTCGAAACCTGATCAAGGCTGTGCTGTAGCAGAGCCCACTGTCTCGGGGACTTGGAAATTTTCCTTTTTTCATGCAAATCATATGCTGGGCCGCACCCCAGGTTGTACAGGTTCAGAGCACTGGGCTTGCTTGACTTCTTATTAGGGCACAGCCTTGAACCTAATTACTGGTAGGCTATTTGTTTAACTGTATTACCAGGGTTTTCTTTAAGGTTTTAAGTAGGCAGAGTTTTCAGAAAGTTGTGGGTAAGGAGGACTCATATGATGGGCTTTACCTGGAAAATTTTTGAAAATTGAATGCTGGAAAACACATTTCCTGGCATTTTGGGTTGTGAAACTTTGACATTAGAGGGTTGAATTAAGCTGCAATTATACTAGTTTTAGTTTAGTGGTTGAACTGTCACTCTTGACCTTCCAAATAATATCCTTTTACAACTTGCTACTTCATGACGTTCATTTGACATTCATTTTGCCCATATTTTGGTCGATTTACTGGCAAATTGATACTTATTTTCTCAGTCGTTTTTTCAAAGGTGGGTACATACCTTCTCTTTTGTTATTTCATTTTCGTTTGAGATACTGGCCGATAGTCATGCAGGAAAACTCCTCTTTCCCAGTTCCCTGTTCGCACTAATTATGCATTCATATCTTGATATCCAATATGGCAGACAACAAATTTTATTGTATGTACTTTCCTGCCACCGCAGCAAGATTTGTTAAAAAAGGTAGTCTCAAACATAACGTTTCTACACTGTCCTTGAGTCAGAAATCTTTTTTATGTTTTCTGAAGTAAGGAAAGTAGCTGGTGAAACCTTGCAGAGAAGGTGGCGAACTTTGCCAGCTGCCAGCTCTTATCTACAACCCTGGTATAACAAAAGTTGTAATGTAGAGTATTCTGTCGTCTTTTCTGACATGTATTATTCAGGGTATTGGCAAATTATTAAAGGACTTGAAACATGTTGAAGACAAAAGCCAAGAGGACATCATTGAAGATGCAACTATGACATCAGATGAAAGAGAAAGCCAAGCAGGCTCCACAGCTCTGGACTGGAGTATAAGAAGTTCTGACAGTGTTGCTGAGAGTATGTTTATCAGTTTTTTCTTATCTTTATAAAGCTTAATAAACACCATGTGCATCCTTTTTGAAAAAACAGCCAAAATCGTTTTTGCCAGTAACAGCTAGACTGCAGGCCGGTTTTTCAGGATTAGGGAAAACAAACAAGCTGAGAAATGAACTGGAGAGAGTCCTTTCCATCCATCTAAATTCCTTTGCTTGCACATACTTTAATATGTTTGCTGTTGTGTATGGACAATCACTTGTGTATAGACGAGCCCTGTGTTAGGAGCCTTTTGTGATTGACTTTCTCTCATAGGCAAACAACCAGCCGTATCATTTTGGTTGGTCGCTTTAGGAAAGGTTCACTTCATCAGCCTCTTTCCATAATTTCCAACAGCTTAACTAGATATGAAACTGGATATAAAGGGGCCGAACTGCTGGGGCCTCTGAAAAGAATAATGAAATAAAATCTTTGCTGTATCACGGTGGCCTATACTTTAACCTGCACATTTGACCTTGGTGACGTGCATTTTTTACCAACCGTTGATAGTCCATACTCACATGGTTGCGTATTGTTGTGTCATCGTGAGAATAGTCCAGACTCGTTCAAAATCGTCTCAACATTTCTTTTGTTCTCTCAACATAGAAGCCGTTTGAAACCGCTTTTTTGGCCCTGCCTGGTGTCTCTGTCTCTTAACATTCTGTCACGATTCTGTGCATTTATAGTGCTGCATACGTCATCATGCCTAGTAGAAAGTCATAATTATCTCATCCTCACCCTAGATACTTTTAAATCTCGAAAAACAGTTTTTCGGTGGATCAAGTCTTATTAGTTACCAAAAAATATGTATATAATATGTATGGAGAAGCCACTCAGATTACTGAGCCAACTAATAAAACTGAATATGCCCTCGTGTTTTTCAGCCGCTGTCAGTTTTGAGGATCTCCCAAGCACTTCGTCGCTTGAAGGACTACAAGCTGCGCATGACAGAATCAAAGTAGCCCCAAAACACCGCAGGCCGCCTACTAAGGTCCGCTTCAACAGCTCCTCTATGAACCCCCTCAATAGTGGTAAAATGAAACCACACAGGCGATCTAAAACTGATCCTAAAGATTTTACTGTGAAACCTAAAGTGGAAAGTAACTCCAGTTCAGATGTCACTACAGCAATTTTTAAGTCTCAAGAAACCAATGAGGAGCAGAGAAAGGAAAAGCATTTTGCTGATTTGAAAGCAAAAGCTGAAAGTGTTATTACCAACTCATCACCAACAAAAACTGAAATGCTTGTGAGTGACAAGGAGGGAAAAGACCTCAAAAAAGAACAGAAAGACAAACAGAACTGTGCAAAAGACGGCTCAGCTGATAGTGAGATGAAACACAATAAAGAAAACCAGACGGACAGCAAAAACAGGCTGGTTCATGAAAATACAGAGGAAAAAAAGTTTGAAGACAAGATTCTTAAAGAACTCAACAACAAGAATGAAGAATATAGACTTAGCTTGAAGAAAAGATCGGAATCTCTCGACGTCATAAAACCGAAAAGCAAATCAGGATCAGAGCCGATTTGTCCGGACACTGGGGCAGAAAGCGCTGAGCCCCAGAAAAGGAGAACAGCTTTGAACAGCTTCGAGTCCAAAGAAAAAAGCCCAGATCGTGACTTAAAAGTCAGGAAACAGTTAGAAAATGAAAAGCTAGTTAAAACTTCAGTTTGCAGGGAAAATCAACCCGCCAATCTTCCCACCAATAATGTGTCTATTAGCAAAATGGAACCCGTAGTTTCCACATCAACAGGCTTGGATGAAAAAAGTTCACTGGGTTCAAAAGCGAGCGCGGGCAAGGAAACGAATTCAGAGCAAAAAGCGGGATTCAGACCTGCCATGAAAAAAAGGTCAGAATCCCTCGACGTCGTAGAAACAAAAGGTAAATCAGGACCAGAGATTGGTTCGCATACTGGTGCAGTAAGCAAGCCTCAAGTGAGAAGAGGGTTTTCTTTGGACAGCGTCGAGTCTACAGAAAAAAGCTCTGACTTCAAAGTCAGAAAACTAGTGATGGAAAAAGAAAAACTGGGTGGAACTTCGGTTTGCAAAAACAATCAATCCGCCAATACTCAGACAAAAAACCAAACGGAAGTTAATTTGGATGAAAAGAATTTACTAGGTCCAAAAGAGAGCGACAAGGAAGCAAGTTCGATACAACCTTCCTGGGTAGAGCTTGCCAATCAAAAAAGCAAGAGACTTTCACAACTGCTTAATGAAGATGTCAAGGAAACCAACAGTCAGGTAAAAGCAAGGTGTCATCGTTATGTTAGTATTTTTAAAAACTACAAGGTACTCTACCTTTAGCGGGCTTATTTTAATGCCACATTCAACACTGGATTTGTTTGTGTTGCTTCAGTTACATTTGATATGGAGCTTATCTCCCTGTTGGACCTTATTGTCGCTTGAGATAGATATGTTTCTACTGACTGGGCTTTCTGCTCTTGTACTTTTGATAAGGAAATGTATTAGTATGTTATTTCATTTTTTTCTCCCTACCATGTTTTCTTAAATGGTAACTCGCTGTGTCCATTTCTCGTTTTAGGTGTCACCAAAAGTGGGTACTGAATTTCAATCTACTTCCAATTCTGCCGCTAGTAATAGCGATAAAAAACCGCTTCCACGTGTTAAGGAAAAACCGGCTGTACCAGCTAAAAAGGAGGGATTATCCAACAAGGTGAAGCCACCAAAACCTGATCCAAGCAGCAAAAGATTTTATGGAAAAGTTGAGAATAAGGCACCGATTTCTAATCCATCCAGTCATGAAATGCTCGATGCGGACTTGAAAAGAACAGGCTTACCAGTCAAAGCCGCTTGCGGTGCGGACAAGTGTGTGGTATGCGGGACAGCGGTATATCAAATGGAGAAGTGTAGCTTGGATAACTGGGTACTTCACCGTCATTGTGTCAAATGCACAGTCTGCAAACGACTCTTGACAGTTGGGAACTTTGTTATGGCTGAATGTAAAGTGTACTGTAAACCGCATGCTAAAGCAGTTACTGTTTCCATGTAGCAGGCTCCGAAACAATTCGTTATCCAAAGTCTGATTTTAGGAATTACGTTGGGGTACTTTCTCTTTGTCAGCAGTAACGGAGATAAGTAGGTGAAACATGATCGTCCTGGTGGGCGTATTCCTGTACTTAGGTTGACAACCGTGACTAATATTGCGTCAACCTGTGCGGTAGTCTTCCTCAGAGTCAAAGTGTAACGGAGATATCGTGCTGCTCGCGTTACGTAAAAACGGTTGAGTAGAAGTGTTCCATACACCATACAAGTCGCCTCCATACTCGATAACGGATTCGTGCGTCCAGCTCAGTTGTTCAAAAGGTGGATAGCTCTATCCACCGGATAAATCACTATCCAGCTGATAGCGTAATTGGTTTCCCTAATACTTATCCGCTGGATAGCGCTATCCACCTTTTGAACAGCTGAGTCCTGAACTTTATTATACAATCAAAAAATGCATTAAGAGTTCGTTCGAGCTCGGATTGTATGTGCCAGAATGAGAATCAGTTGAGTTAATTATTACATCAGTTATTTAGTCGTACCGATTACAATGTACAACCATCGATCTGTAGCCATGTGTGACCGACAATAGTTAAATCATGCTCCAAGAAGCGTTTAAGTGGCCCCAAAGTCCATCTGATAAAATTTACTATCTGTGTACTCTTCTTCCGGAATACGACCGAACAAATGAACCCTAAAACCGGCCCATTTAGTCCTCTTTTCTTATCGTTTTTACTACATTTTCTGCGACTTATATCCATCAGGAGTTTAACTGTGATATTTAATGAAATCCTTTGAGTCTTCTTTTTCTCAGTCTTACTTTTTAAGTATTTTAACAGTTTATAAAAGCATGCGTACAGGAAAGAACCATTTATTTAACTACAATGTTTAATAAGAACCATGAGTCTACTTAATTTAAAACAGATAGTTGGTTTTTAGTGCTGCATGTTTTTTAAATAGTTTACCTTAGGCATTTTGCCATTTGAATCACGGTACTTACAGGAATGAAACGAAAAGAATATATTTTTTGCTTACCTAACTGTTATATTTTAACCGTCTTTTATTGACAATAGTGTCGTGTTATTTAAATTTACAGTTGGCGAACCACGCGGCTTGTACATGAGGTTAAAACTTATCTAAATAAACAGGCAGATTTAAAACGAATACCCAGTCAGATCCATAATCTATGACTCTTAATGTTGAGTCCTTGTCTGACAAAGGAATTTAGTAAGATTCTGGGAAACTGTGCACAGCATTCAAAACAATCTGAAGGTTCGTGTTAGTGCCCGGTTATGACAACTTCAGCCAGTATGATGAAGAAACAAACACAAACATTCCTAGGGATTGTTATTTTTTTTTTTTTCGGGGGGGGGGGGGTTTGGTTTTTTCTCCCCCTTTCGTCCGTCCCGTCACCCTAAATTCCGGCCAACTCGTTATTTATCAACCATAAGGATTTTGTTGTTGAAACCTGTTTTCACAAGAAACTCTTTTTTCAAACTAATGAGAAAGTGAAAAAGTTATTTGCCTTTTTTCAACATAAAGAACAAAATTAATGTCTTATAATTTTGAGTCCTTGTTTTAAAAAAGGATTTTGTAATATTTTGGGAAAACGGGGACGAGATTTAAAAAAAACTGAAGGGTTTTGTTAGGGCCCGGTTTTGACAAATTCCACCAATATTAAGAAAAAAAAAACCAAAACTTTTCTAGGGGTTTTTTTTTTTTTTTTTTTCGGGGGGGGGGGGGTTGATGTTTTCGCCCCCATTCGATCATCCCCGTCACCTGAAATCCGGAGTAGACGTTAATTGTCACACCAAGTGATTTTGTAGTTGCAACCTGTTTCACCCGAGAACCATTCATTGCAACTGATGGGAAAGTAGTAATGGTATTTAGCCTTTCATCAGATCCTTTCAGCATAAATTCGTTTATAGTCACAGTTAGAGTAAGTTTGTTTGCGTTTAACCAGGTATGCACGTTCAAAAGGTGCTCATTAACACATGATTCAGTGCTGTTTACATCATTATCCGCGATATGAGATACGTGTCATCGGCGAAGATCCTCGGTTCACCAGTTTGACAAACAATTTGGACGGTGATTAATGACTATAATATTAATGTCCACTAGGATGGTCCCCTGAGGGACACCACAGGTTAATACATGGCTGTCAGATAAGGACCCACCAACTGAGCATTGTTGCTGCGTGTTCGTAGCGAACTACTGTAGTGTCAGTGATACAACCATAGATAGCTGAAAGTGTAATTCCCTTGTCCTGCTTCAGTAGCCTGCTAATACAGCAGCCATCTCTCCTCATCCCTAGCGGCGAGAAGCGAAGAGAGATGGCCGTATTTTCAGGCTACGGCTGAATCAGCGGAGGTTTCCATGGTATCGAGACTTAAGCTACTGAAGATCATACCATGAACATCGTGTGAAGGTCGTCAGTGAGAAGAGGATTATCCATGATAACCTTTAGGAAGCTAGCGAGTCAGTAATGGTTTTGATCGTTTATATTCGGAATTTTAATTAACATAGGTACAGTATGTGGTCCTTGGTCCCCGTCTAAAAGTCATTAACTTGAATATCTTACCCGAATCTTCACGTAACGAGCTGAAATACTCCCTGAAGATAGCTTTTATGTTCTTCTCGATAATCCTGAAGTTTCAAGTTCCAGACATAAATATTTTGCTAGGTTCGAAAAAGGGTGACCGTTTTCGATGGTCCTTGGTCCGCGTCTCAGGTAAGCAGCACGAAAAAAACGTAAAAATGTTATAGTTTTCACACGAAAACGTGATTTTCACAATATTTCATGTATTTTTTTTCTTTTCTTGATGCAATTAAGTTAAGGTTTTTTTCGGAAGATGTTGTGAGCATAAAATAATCTGCTTTTGTTTCAAAGACTTAGAAAACAGTCTCCTCGAGTCCTCGACACGAGCGTCGACGAGCGGTTTCAGCGCGGTCGAAATAATTACAAAAAACTCTGTATATATTCGAGGTATTAAAAAAAGAGAACTTGTAGACATGTATAGGGACGATTTTCAAAACATTCTTCGAAAACAAAGGCCGTCGCTTTTTATTTTGCGAAGTTTTACTCAACCAGGTCATAGGTCGTGGACCAAGGGCCGCTAAGCGAAAATTGGGATATTTTTCAAGAGTCGATAAAACAAAAAATTCAGAGTCTTTCATTATTCAACGTATTTTTTTCTCGACGAAATATTTTATCATTTTCGGACAAGTCGCGGACCAAGGGCATCGCGGACTTGCGCGGACCAAGGACCACATACTGTATAAGCTTTCAAAATGAACGAAAGACCTATGTCACGCCACAAAACTGAGCAGGCTGAAGGTTGAATACAATTTCGTGATGCCGTATTCATTTATATCTTGAGTTTGTCTATATGGCACTTCCAAGGTTGTTTCACCTTTTAAATACCACTTCATATTTAATTCACCTGTCCAGCAGGGATTTGAAAAAGCATGCTGCAAAGGGATTAAGGCAGGCAAGCCCGCAGAGTCAAATCATTACTTGACCCATCTGTTATAGTTGGAGGGCAGTTCTACGATAGACCATTGGTTTTCATCCCATAGAACCTTTTCAATTACATTGAGCTGCTGCACTCCGAGCAGCGTTGTAATCCATTTTCATTGCACGCAGTGCATCGAAGAACACTGATCTGTCTAGAAATTCTTGTTGTTCGTGATCTTCTGCTTCCATGACATTGAGTACAGTTAATGTACCGAAAGCCACCACAGCTGTGACATACATTGTTATCCCGCCTCTAGAGGAAAAAAAACATCCAGTTATCATTTCAACTGACAACACATTGTGAATTTCCTTTAGATTTTAACAATTTTTTTGATGAACTATTTAGGTAAAACGAGCTAGCATCAGCTCTTCCAGTTAAGCTTTGCAAGCTACTAGAGTCTAAAAGCTGCTAACACCGAGTCTGATCCGAGACTCACCAGATTGGGATTGAGTGGGTGCCATTTTTGACATTTTTGGAACTTTTCGCTCCGCTTGTAATTGAAGAGCACGTTATTTGATGCAAGTAGCACACAGATGTTATCCTTGAAAACGTATGAAGTCTTTGTTTAAAGTGTTTTAAGACCAGGAATCCCCAGAGATTCAAAGAGGAACCCTCTACCCAAAACGTTACCCTAGAAGGTAATTCTCTTCTTTTTACCTCAAAACTTTGAAGCAGTCTCTTCAGTTCTCCAGTTTCGTTCATTTGTTCTAGTTCTTGAACGCCCTGGGGGAAAAGGAAAAGAAGTATTAAAACTGCATTAGTCTTGATTGCAGTTTTTCACCAACTCTTAGCCCAGCCTCCGACAGAAACTTCTTAGGCCTTCGTTCCTACGTGTTCCTTATACGCGTGACGTATCCTTAAGAACGTCTGCCAGGGAGGCTACTAGGCGTAGGAGTTTCAGCTTTTTGGGCAACTCACAGCATCTTATGTGCTCGAGCGTTGCCCACTCTCCAAGAAACCCGCCATCTTTAATAATCTAACATCAATCAAGCAAAGCTAACCGATGATTAAGATTTCTTCCACCCCATTGCCCAGCAGGAAAGCTATATTAGTTGAAAAAATTCTTCTGGGAAAAAGATGTCGCCTTTCGTTTTTGCACTCAAACAGGTGCTTTTATTTTGCATGCTTACGCGCAAATTTCTCAGAAAAACTGTGAAAACTGTGGCTAAAAGTGATAGATAAAAAAACTACTCATAAAAAAACACCTTGAATATCCTGGAATACCCTGACTGGCTCATTATCTTTAAAGAATGAGCGCGGCTGTAGGTATGAGGAGGACAAAATGCAAAACCTACATATTCTATTTTATACTAAGATTAGTCAGTGCTTTGGAAAAGCATGAAAAACTGGATATGTTTAACAAATTCCTATTTTGCTTTTTCATCTTGTCTAACATTTTTTGGGACAATGTTATCGCAATCAGGTGTAAGAATATCTAGATATATGGCATTATGGAAAATTTAACGAAGAAAAACATTTTATTCGGCATCTTTTTCTTATGGCTGAATTATATTTTTGTGATCACTGTTTATACAACAAAGCAAGGCAATATGCTGTTAAAAGCTGGAGGAGTACAATCTACGCAGTCTTCGGGCATATTGTCATAAAACAAGACGAAATGCAAATAAGCCTTGTTGTTTTGATTGCTATGAAGACCGTTGAGGGGAACGTAGCAACGACGGATATGGTGTGGGACTGATATAATTGCATGCCATAACTTTGATTAAAGCCCCACATAGGGCAATGTGCAAAATGAACTATACAACAAATCAAAACAATAATTGTCATCACATATTGCTTTTACATTTGCGGACAACAAGTTTTTTAACTTAGGTTTTCAATACTCGAGTATCAAGTAGGGTTTAAGTAGTCGCTTTAATATGTGAGCAATTTCAATCAATCAATCCCTCAAGAACCGGTCACCAATGTATTTACCATGCCACACTCATCTTACCCCTAAAGAAGCTCCATTTACAAACACATGCGGCACGGAAGCGTTCTGAATTCCTAGTCTTTTGTCAAGCTGGTTTTGATAATCCTTATGCATAAATATATTCCGCTCATCTACTTTAAGTCCTAAATTGTCGAACAATTTCTTGACGTATGCACACTCCTCCACTTTGGAGCGAATTCCTCCCATCGATGTGGTGTACACAATGATCTTCCCTTCCTCCTTTTCCTATTAAATAGAAAGAAGAAAAATTGGGATAGCGAGTTTGTGACAAAGACATATCGATGTTTGCATAAATAATTAACAAGGAGCAAAGTTAAGTACATAGATCTACTCATACACTAATCTTACACAGTGCATTGAAGCTTTGTGTGGACCTACCTCAAGACTTTTCCCAACAAAGCCTACTCTCAAGCACTCCTTTCTTTCTTTTATCATATTTTTGAACCCCCGGACTGTACCAGTTGGCCCAATAATTTCTCTTGGACACAAGACATGATTTCCAATCGTCTTTTGCACGCCGTTTGTTTGCACGCAATCTTGAGACGAAGAGGCCGATTCTTCATTTCTATGATTAAAGGAAGTAAGTTCAACGGTGTTTGCAGAATCAAGCCTCTTATCTAAACGAAACATCATCGACAACTGGGTCGTAAGAAAGACCAGCATACATCTGGCGAGCCTGGTGAGTACGAGTTTTCAACGTGTCCGAGTATTAAATGGCGTTGAAAGTCTAACAATAGCTGTCCGCTGATTTTGTATTGTTGGTTGTTTTGTGCTTGTACGGTTTGTTCTGCTTCAATTGCAAAACCGGGTTGATGCATAATTTCATCATGGCTAAGTGACTTAAAAACCGCCATAAATTAGGCTGTGATTGGTCGAATTGCGTTACTACACATATATGCATTCTTAATGATCAGTATGAAAGAAACGTCGACCAATTTTATACTTCACTATTTTCAACGTTCGTGTGCACGCGTTTTAAAAATTATACTGGACAGAAGCAATTTGAAAAAGGAGTTGAAAGTAACGTAATTTTTGTCATGGTTTTGCACATTGGCAGTTTGGAGGAGGACTTAATGGCGTGATTTTTCTGATGAAAAACTGAGAAATTTCACATTGCCATGCAATGGAAGAAGATACCCATGTAAATCATAAACACATTGCACATACGTAGAACGAGGCTTACTCAGTCGCGCTGAAAGGGTAACAACTTTGTATGAGAATAATTTTGAAAGCCGGTTAATTCTTCTTAAAACCTCTACCTGCTAAACTTCCCTTTCATTGTCTAATAAAGACAACGATTTTTTTTTGTTTTGATCATTTTCCTTAAAGCCCTTATTAACAGTTTTTGGTCGGAGACCACGCACTAGTGCAAAGGTATGCAGTTTTACAACAATAATGAACATGACGAGGATAATGACTCTTATGATTATAACAACAACAATAGTTTGTCTCCTTTTCCCCGCATTAGGAGGATTTGAAATCGGTTTATTTTTTTGAACAAGAATTTAGAAAACTTCATTTGATATTAGTTTTAAAATATCAATGATTTATATTTAAAACGTCTGGGTGACGACACTAGGCTTGGCGTCTGAGGCTGGAAGTTCCCGCCTTATAAGCTTGGTAACGGACCCATCTGCATGTAAACAAATCATAAACATACCATATACAGCAGTAAAGTACAAATATCAGTGATATCCTGTCAGCGGACAATCAGCTCCTACCCTTTAGCCAAACAAAGTTGAACAATAAAATAATTTTTTAAAAAAAATTCGTTTTTTTGTTCTAAGCGTTCCTCTCTTTCTCTATTATTATGATGTTAATGACAATGAATCACCGTCTTCATATCGTCATTATTATCATGTATATAACAAGCGGTATAAGAGTCTGCAAGAGAATGAATTTACCAAGGCAGTAAAATGGCACAGATGGAACTATAAAATATAAGTCAATAGATAGACAAATTTATAGTATATAGGTCATATACTAGGATCAATTTATTCAGTGCTGCTTTTTTAAAATTATTTGTCGGGGCTTTGTGTTATCCTTTATCCGTTTGCTCTGATCCATCGTAAATTCAGAAATGACATTACGCATTGAAAAAACAAAACAAAACATAACATAACCACAGAGAAAAGCTCAATACTAAAAGATAGACGCGTCATTCTTAACTTGTCAAAAAAGTAAAGCTGGACATAGGTGGCCTTCTTCTCGTGATTGGGGACACAAAAAAACTCAACAAACAAAAACCTTTTGTGTTAACACAATCGAGCTGGTCGTTTGATGATCCATAACAATTTAATGACTGAAGGATTACAAGGGCATTTTTAAGATTTAAGACAGCTATCTGCATATGAAAACATTCTAAAAAAAACCCGCTTTCTCTTTGCATTTTTCCCTTTCAGCAGACCCTCCCTCGCCTCACCTCTTTTTTTTTGTTGAGAATCATAACCGCGACAGCCTGGCAGGCACTCTAAATCAAACCTATCTCATACATAAAATATATGGGTATTAGGATACTCGAAGATGTAAATAAGATTTTTATTAGGTTTATAGTTCAGATTCGAAAATAGGAGGACTGGTAAAGTGAAAAAAATTGTGAAGTGTCGATTGCAAACTAACGAAAGGTTTCTTCAGAATTCAGCATACAAAACGTTTCATTAAATGGGCTGTCAAGCGAAATATGAGCACAACTAAAATAGTTTACTCAACAGAGCCTACGGTCGGCATTTGAAAAGTTGAAATAGGAAAAAAGTTTCATTTTTGGTCGTTTGGCTTCCAAGAAACAATTAAATATTAGCTTTCTTCTTTGTTAGCCATTGAATATTACTAGTATGCTTTTTTGGTGCCAGTATAAATTGAGAATAATTCCGGCGTGGCTGGCTGCAGCGTTTAGCGAATGTCGGGCATGCACGTGAACAATATAGTGGGCGGCTATAAAATCACAAATGAACCATTCACCTACTTCAGTAATCAGTGTAACATTCGATAGCTCGCAAACCGACTGACAGCGCTTGAACTGAGGAAGGAATCAAACAAAGCCTAGAAATGAATTCTCTGAACGTCGTCTTAGTTTTGATGAGCTTCACAACAGTATCCCAACAAAATGAAGATGCCGAGTTTATCCCAACTACACAAAGTGATTTACTCAAGCTTCTAGAAATCAAGGAAAAGCCAAGCGTGTTACGAAGCAGGTCTCAAGTGCCTAAATATGTCATGGACTTGTACAGGGACCAAGCTCACTTTGGTGGTTTTACCAAGGCATGGAAATCAGCTCCTGGTACAACAATACGAACTTTCTTTCGAGGTATGTAAATGTGTTTTCTCTGTCAAATGCATACCCGAGTGAATTATAAATGTCATCGTAATTTGCATGGTTAACGATGTCTTTTATTATTGTTTTAGATACGAGAGTCGTTGACGATGGGCGCCTTTTCTTCTTCAACTTATCAGCACTTCAAACCAAAGAAAAAGTTCAAAAGGCAGAATTGAGGATATTTAAAAGACGTTCCAAGCTCGACTCCTCTTGTGGACACTTTAAGGTGACAGTGAATCGTTTAAACCGCAGAGTTGTGCGGGACGGTGCCGCAAGTAGCTGGAAAAAACGAAAGCAAACTGTAGTCGACACAAAACTGGTGAAATGTAGACGAGTTGGCGAGTGGATTGTTTTAAATGTTACCCCAGCTGTGACGTTTTGGAATTCATGGCCGTCGCGAAATTTCGGCTTGTGGATAACTGTGACAGGATTAGGGGCTCCAGAGTCAGATTTCTACATTGCCACTGGAGGTAGAAAGGAGCCTATCCTGATCATTTATGGTGACAGTCAGAACGAAAAGAACGACCACAGATTACTAAGAAGTGCTAACGAGGTTCCCAAAGAAACACGAGAGACGTATCAACAACATACACGGTCGAAAAGGAAAAGCAACGAAGAGGCTTTCAGTTCTACAAGAAGTCGAAGATCTGTAGATGAGGATATGTGTACAAGGCATCAACTGTTTGTAAAGTTTCGTGATTTAAAATGGGACAAATGGATTATAGCTCCTCGTGGCTTTAAAGCTTTCTATTGCACGGGGAAGTGCCCCGAAATCATCGACAAATTCTTCAATCCAACCAATCACGCAATAATACAAAATCTTCTTCATCACCGACATAATAAAAACATTCCCGCTGCTTGTTGCGTACCGACGAGTTTACACTCAATGACTATAATGTATTTTGAACTAGATGGCAGTATTGTATTAAGAGAATATTCGGGTATGGTAGCATCAACATGTGGCTGCCGCTAAAAAAGAGTTTGTCCCGTTCAATTCACTGCAAGCAACCATTATAGAGCTGAACAATTTAGTGTCATAAAGAACGTATTTATATTGATGAATGGTGCTATGCACCCTAATACAATATTGGAAAATATAGACCAAGATTAAAGTAGAATGCTATCTAACCAGAAAAAATATCTACAATAGATTGTCCTCTAAGGAAAGGACATATTCAAGTTAAACTTGAAAAACGAATGCACTCTTCCCTTTAAATTTGAATGCATCATCTAGCACTTAACTCCTAAAATGACGTCTATAGAACGTTTCTGTTTAAGACATTATGAACAAGGCCGTAGTTAGATGTTCGATCCGTGTACTAAAAATGGAACAGCCCAACCTATTATGAGCAATCAACAGGCTGCTCCAGCGACTAAGTACTGTTGTTCATTGACAGTTCATATATTTTATTTATTTCCGCCGAATGAGGCAGTAAGCCGCCGTCTATCACTTGAAAAATTTGCATGAAATTCAGACTACTTATATCACGCTCCTGTAACCATGAATGAAATAAATTTAGTTGCGGCCAAGACCTGTTCCGCAATCACGTACAATGGTTGCCTTAGCGTTATTTCCATTTTTTTTCGTGAGGGTTCTTGTGTGGCAGTTTGTTGGAGTTACTTTGTATGTTTTAGCAATCTACATAATTACGGATTTACACTCTGTTTGGAACAGTTGTACTTCAAAGTCAAGGGTAAATTGTTGACTTACCGTATGGATTATGCACTTCACAAGTGTTGACTTGTGGCATCTTATTTTAAGTTACTTAAACGGATATTGCACGAGGGAGTTAAGGCCGCCGGCTTCTTGAACTGATAAATCCCGATAAGTCCAATTATTTTGCAATGAGATATTCCAACGTAAAAAATAGGAAACGAACGAGCAAAAAAATTAAAGACCAACTTTCATCCGCGACGCAAGCACTATGTGTCATTTATAATGGACGAGGAGGATATAAGCAAAATCATCACTGCGAGGATAAAACTGATCAAGTAACGGTTTTATTTTGCTCTGCTTCATCTAGGTTACAAATTTGTCCATCACTGGTAAATGAAGGAACTGGAAAGGTGACCCGGATGGTTCTTCGGCGCCATCCATAAAAGCCCATGGTCCAACAACAGGAGCCGGGGAGACGTAACCCCACAATTTCAAATCTGTATTCAAGGTTTACCAAATTTTTTACTGGTTCAGTCCACAAAGCTATTTCTTTCTGTAAGCACTCTATCAGAATGTTAAAATGTTTTTCCCATTTGTTGGTAAATTTGAGGGACTGACAGAAACCATTTACATTAAATATAAAAAAATAAATTTTGAATTCTAACTACCTGTTAAAAAAAGGTGAAAAAAGTTTGGATGTATGAGAACATTAGTTTGAATATCGCCTATTCTCGTTTTTTTTTCAGTTTTCAAATTTCCCGCGTGCATTCTACACCATTTTAAAGTGTCATGACATCATTAGTTGCCCTGTTCTATTGCATTAGTAATGACATCAACCAGGTGACGTCAAATAAATAAATAAAATAACTAAATTTATTATTTATATTGCGCAAATTACATGTGCATATTGTGATCAAGTGTCACTAAAACGTCACGAACTTCAACGGGTTAACGCGCGCGAGAAAAAGGGAGATTTGTATCTCAACTGTTTTTTTCTTCAATACGCCACTTTCACATTTCCCATAATGTACCTTATTCCCGCCCCCCCCCCGCCCCCCCACCCCCCAAATTTGCATAACCTTTGTTTTTCATTTCTTCTGGGTATTACAGCCCTCCCAAGAGAAACCCCCCCCCCCCCCCCCGCCCCCCCACCCCCCAAATTTGCATAACCTTTGTTTTTCATTTCTTCTGGGTATTACAGCCCTCCCAAGAGAAATTGAAAACAATGCTAAGGGAAATGTGGAAGTGGGGTAAGGAAAAGAAAGTAACTAAGGGCCTGTTTACATGGAGGTCGGGTACCCCAGGTAGGTGAGGTAACCTGCCTAGGTGGGGTAAAAAAATAACCCTCCTTTACATGCAATCTTGCAACCCCGCCATCCCGGGGTGCACTTTCTCAAGATTATTGAATGGTCGTTTACCACGTAAACAAGAAAAATGCTGGCAAACCACGTGTTTTGGCTATTAACGCCCTTCTGTACTCCCTTGTTGCTCTTGCTGCAACCTTCAGTGCAATGGCTTTCTATTGTTAACTCTAATAATGATGCAAAGCCACCGCCAAAGAGTGTTTTTTTCGCGAATTGGATGCATTACGAATCCGACCCCGGCCAGGCGGGTTACCCCACCTTAAACGTTTACATGGCAAAATTTGACCCCGGCTGAGAGGGTAACCCGGTCTGGTAGACCGGGCTACCCGCCTTTGCGGGTCACCCCACCTATCATGTAAACGTGATCAAATTAAAATGAGAGATTATATGGACAGGCGGGTTACCCCACCTAAGCGAGTTACCTCACCTACCTGGGGTCCCCCACCTCCATGTAAACAGGCCCTAAAGCAAATAACAAAACCTATAAAAAAATACGAAGTACTGACGAAAAAACAAGTAACGAAAAGAGAAGTAAGGAAGGAGCGGAAATAACGCACAGCCATGTTAATTTGATACACCTCCTCCTGCACTTTTCCCTTATATGTTCACCACGCTCCATCGAAACTGCCAGCGACAGTACGCAGGCTACATGGAAAGTAAGTTTTGAAATACAGACTCATGAATACAAAAGGTTAAACTTGCATACCTTTGACGTTGAGAAAATCGAATACTCTGGAGTATAATTTCAGATGTTTAATTTAAGTTTTCCATTAAAGATATTTACATGGAAGAAAAAAACAGAATGAAATTGTTTGAATATTGGCGTAATCCCTCTTCATTGACAGAGTTATTACTCGTCGGATTTATATGTAAAGCAGTCCAGCGACGACAAAGGTCTTAGTAAAATCCTGCTTTTTACACTAAATCAAAAACGGAAGGCATTATAGGTTTACTCTAAAGTGAATCGCTCATTTACGAGCAAGCCAATCGGAGTGCTATGAAGACACCATAACCATTCGCTGAATTGCTGTATGTACTCAGTAACTCGTCTTGTTGGGTTCAAATCTCGAAGAGTTCTAACAACTGTCACATTTCACCAACACTTTGCTGATCTGTGAATGTAAGATATTTTTTCTTTATTTTGAATCTTTTGAACAAGCTAAATTTAGAAATGACAGAGGAATTTAAAACGAGGGATGGGGATTGGAAGGAGGGAAAAATCCCACAGAACCGAGCGGTGAATTGGGTCATGCACGCTTTGGCTGCCGAAATTCACGATGTATGGTTGGTATATGCTATAAATTAGCAAAAAGTTTTTTCGAATTTTTGCTTTAAATTTTTTTTTCAATTATTTGCTATTTGAGAAGTTGCATCACTAGAGTATTTAGTTGATTCTTAACTAACCCACTTTTCGGTTTAGTTCTTCTGTGAAACCTCTGGTGTCACACTGGCAGATAAACCGTTCCTTCCAAGGCGATTGCCTACAGAACTGCCCACCCAAGGGCCCTGAGAAGCGTTCTGAGCAAATATTGAACATTGAAAGATCTCCAGTCTCAAGACGTGTGAGAATAACAAATGGGTGCAAAGAATTCCCGAGACACTTTGCGTGGACAATAACGTCCATTCGTGTCTCCGGCTCATGACTTCTTATAACAACATTTATTTAGGGCCGCACATACCATAACGACATATCCTTGTTATCAAACGGCACAGGCGATGCCGTACCCATGACGTCAGAGTTCTCATTATTATGGGCTGTACTGAGTAGATCAGCAAGTGATGTGATATAGCTGAGACTGTAAGCATTGCTCAAGCAGCTGCAACAGAAAAGCCGCAAAGATTTAGTTTATACTACTTATTATCCCCGCACAGCTATTAAATTCCAACTTTTTAAACAACTCAATCCGAAACGACAATAAAAATGAAAACTGCACGTTTGCAAGTCTCTCGCAAATCTGGGCATCCACTTATCAATATCTACAATTCCTCATGTGGCCCGGAAGGGCTAAAAAGAGAAACGCGCCGGGCAAATCGCTGGGCAAATCGCCGGACTTCTTTTTTTAATTGCTACCTCAGCTAGGTTTGACTCGACCGACAAGCCACTTACACTACCTAACTGAATAGCTAAATTACAGTCCGACATGTTTGGGTTAGCTGTCTCTTCTGTGCTTCGGCCAGTAGCTTAACAAGGCAGAGCTAAATACCTTTCTTTTTTCAGAGCCAGACACGGCAAGTAGTAAAGGGACAGTTACAATTCAGTTTAGCAGTCTATGTATACGGCATTTCTTTGGACCGACTAACTTACATTTTGCCAAGGTCTTCCTGCTGTTTGGTAAGGCCCTTCTGTAAACTGCGTAAGACGACTAACAGTTTGTTGGACAGTGCTTTTAACTGTTGACCATGCGCACTTAAAATCTGTTGACACCACAACAGGTAAAAATGAAGATGACGTGACTTTTCCAGTTGTAGCGCGACAAACTTCAACACAAGTTCAATATAAGGATCTTTCAGTGACTGTACCACCAAGGGAACTAATGGATAAAAAGAGAAAAAACTTTGCTATTTTCCGTTTAAGGTTTATACGTTAAATCGATGTATTTTTGTGGAAATATCATCATAACCAATAGAGAAGATCACTCGTACAAACCCTAAAAATTCAACGAAATTCTATTTGCAGCTGCGACTCATGGAGAACTATTCTTTTTAATGTAAATTAAAGCGATCCATTGAAGATTCAAAGCTGAAACTATATATTCAGCAATTTAATTTACTAAAAGAAAAGAGTTATTTTCAAACAAACATAACATCTCTCAGAAACCAAGCTCCAGCCTAGCTCCAAAGTACGTACAATCTATGAGCTGAAGTGGAATACATTCTTTCAGAAGAGATAAAGAAACTGTTGACAGTAATCCATATGGTCTTTGCAAGAAGGATGTTGTCACCTAAGGGTAGAGACAGTACGGCACAATTGTCGAGATCGTATAGATAGCTGTAAACCCTGGGCGGGATTATACTTAATGATCTCCCTCAATAAAACTTGCCTGCAACTGCAGCGCTAAATCATCGTATACTTCTGTGCCGTTTGTAACTTTTATTATGCACGCTAGTGTTAGTAAGATAGTACGTGGATCTACTGTATAAAGGTGTTTCGTTAACTCAATACTGACTGTCAAATGGTTTAATAGCCTCCATAACTTGACAAATCAGGTGTGGCTCATTCAGCCTCAAACTCATTATTAGTGCTTTTGTGTGTTCGTTGTCGCTACTGGCTTGTAATGTCCTCTCAGGAGTCACATCACAGTCCAGTTGAAATGGATCAAAAACAATATCAGACTCCAGTGAATAAACCAAAAGTCCTTCAGTACTAGCAGCAGCCCATGACCGGCCTACAAACAAAAAACATCCACTGCTGATTAAATCAGTTTAATACAGTTTTAAAAACTTTCTTCTAGCTGAGGACAAGAAAATTTCACGAAGCAAAGAACACAACCTTTTAATTTAACACATTCTCCTGTCCAAACAATTTAGGATGCCTCCATAGCGAGAAATATTCTCACTACCTTCCACTATTGCCGAGACGCCTCGATAGCAATAATACTGGGGCCGGATCACCAGTAACAAAAACGAGATTGCACCGGAAGTCTGTCAATCAAAATATCGTTACCTGTTGGTGAGAACTGTAGTGATTTGACTCGAATTTCTGGCTGGGTTCTCCTGGAACTCATATCACCTGCGACAGTAATAACACACCAAAAAAACATTGCATGGTACCGGTGACTTATTTTAAGTTTCCTACTGTATGAATACCACATCAACAGAAAGTGTTTTTCGCAAGCTTACTGAGTACTCAAACACAAGGTCCCGATTGACACGATTGCATTTCACCTCCTAAAATTATTGTAAGTTGCAGGGCTAATGGTTTCTCCATTTGTTCTTCTGAGGAAAACTATTATGTACTGGCCATTCACCGAAATGATTTGCACTAGAACAATTTTTCACCCCAGCGCCTCTTGACACAGGTAAATATTACTTGACAACTTAGCGAGTGGCCATCATAATACAACAACAAACAACAAAACAAAAGACCACAAATTAATTTACTTGGTTGGTGCCCCCCCCCGCCCCCCTCACCCATGGCTGGCTTACCATGTAACACCCCAGGAAGGGACACTGATTCCTGATCATTTACATTATCATCAATTTGGTCCTGTGGTCCTGCATCTGTCATATTACCACTGTGAAGAAATTCCTGAAAAAAAAGTCATAGAGCAGCCCTATTAGACATCCACCGGTGACCAGTACTTCACCAAGGCAACAAGAAACAGGGTAATTTGGAAATTTTGGGGAAAAAGGTAGGCATACGATTACCTTCATTCCATCACAAGACAAGTTTTTTGAAATCTCAAACCGTTTAATCAGGACCTAAATAAGGTGAAAAAGAGTATCTTAGAATACGAAAAGGAAAGTTCGACTCATCTTTGTCAATAATCAATTAAAAATCCTAAACTGGTCCTAACTCACATATTAAGCTAAGAGAAATTTTGGCACCCTCTTCACCTTACGGACAATTCTTTTGATACCAAAAAAAAGCAAACTTAATGCATTTCTTACCTCTATGAAGACTGAGGATACCACTCTGTCTCAGATAATGCGGCGGACACTTTACCTTTTGGCCTTCTTCTAAAGGGGGTTTGACTCTATATTTCTACTCGGCAAATACTAATACAAGAAGTTAAGATACTTGAGGCCTTTCTTTCCTTCTACTCTACCAACCTTTATAGAACCCTTCAGTTACGAGCTCATCATTGTATATTTAATCTACAATCGGAAGCTACACTCACCTGCTGTTGCACGTGATAAATACAAACAAATTTGGATCTTCCACCAGCTAAAACACATTTTCCATCAGCAGTGTAGCACAAACTGGTAAAACACCTTAATAAGAGACAAAACAAATAAGACTCCAATAAATGAGCACTTTTATACATCCCCATATCTAGTTGGATTTAATCGCGTCTAGCGAAAATTATGGCCAGAGCGCGAGGTTTGTTGCGTGCCGTCCGAAAAGCCCCAAATCATTACACTATGATGAGGAGGGGGAAATGGAAAGAGCAAGGAGAAAAGAAAAAAAAATGCACTCTTAGTTCTGTTTATGACGGCTCGTGTTAAAATGGGTTTGTAAGAGGAAAACTGGTTGAACAACAAGAACATTTACGCAGAAACTTTTTTACGTCTACCATCAACAACTTGCTGAGAATAGTTAACCTGATACTTACTTTGATGAGAGCATGGTCTGAGCAGTTATCTTATCTGAGCTCCGCCTTCCAGGAGCAAGGTCCCTTCGTCCTTCCACTGATGCAGTTTGTAAACCTGTTCTTACATCAAAGAAACTTATCTGTCCATCCAGTGATGCTGCTGCCACCTCCAAGCCGTCAGGACGTACGGTCACTGCCAACACTAAAGCAATGCAGCTGGGTCAGTTTAACTCCCATATTTCTTTATAATCGTAAGTGCACTGAGTATTGCACCACCAATTTTAGCCCAAGTTGTAAACTCGTATCATAGAATATAGAAGAAAGAAACCAAACACCAAAATAACTGAAAAAATATACGTTCTCCCATGCAAATTGATAGTGATCACCATAGATGAATTTGGAGTTGTTACTTTTGGAGTTTGGATTCCGTTAAATATAAAGTCAATTCCCCTTGACTGTCAGCAGACGACCCTTCTTGACATCGTATTGATATGCCAGCTCTTGATTTCGACTTAACTTCTTAAGTACAACGTTTTACTAAGAGTGCTACGAGCTCTTTCAACTGACCAAGCAGGAGGACAAGGGCTGTTCTTGCAAGACGATGGGGCTGGAATGGTNGTATTGATATGCCAGCTCTTGATTTCGACTTAACTTCTTAAGTACAACGTTTTACTAAGAGTGCTACGAGCTCTTTCAACTGACCAAGCAGGAGGACAAGGGCTGTTCTTGCAAGACGATGGGGCTGGAATGGTCACATACTTCAAGGGGAAACCACTACCATATCTACTAACATATTTACAGCCCTCTTAAAGGGCACTAAAGGGTACAAGAAAAAGTAGTTGATCCCAAATCCATCTGGAGAAGGACTGTAGAGGAAGAAGTCAGGTCTTTTTAAAAGCTTCCAACTGGGAGAGACAGGAATGGAAGAAGCTTAATAATGCCCCACAAGCCACTTGGGGCAGGATATTAGGGAGCTTAAGCAACTACGACGACGACCACAACGACAACTTCAAACAACAACAACAACAGCTCTGCACGTGCATTACGCTTTTTAGTACATTTCTTTGACGTCCACTGCACGACTAAAGGTGATGTTACACGGGACGATTCGCAACGACGATTTTTCGCGCAACACAGCGTTGCAGTGCTGGAACAATGTTGTAACCATTCGAAACAACGTTGCAACAATGTTGCAACACAGTGTTGCGCTAAGAATCGTCGTTGTCAATCGTCTCGTGTAACATCACCTTAAGACGTAATACCTCCTAATGCGACGTTTTATGGAGGACGTGGACATACGAAGACGAATTCTCCTTTCTCTTTTTGAACCTGGATAAAGTCCTTATGAATTCAACTCTTGACATATAAAGCGGCTCCAAATAGACGCGATAAAGTCTGAAAGAACGTAATTTTTCTTTAGCGACGTCTTTACTCCCGTCGTCGTTGTCATTGCTTAAGGTCCCTAATGAAGATGACGACGATAACAGAACATCCATGAACTCAGTCTTAACACTGGCTATTAGCTATTGCTACAAAGTGAATAAATCTCCAGCTGGTGTATAACCTCTGGACAGCATTTTATCCAGTGGAAAGCTTGTACTATCCAAATTTCCAACAGCTGACACCATAGCCTGGAAACGCTTGCTACGCAGGCTACTGACACTAGGAGGTTAGTTAATATCGGACTCAGTTTCTACACAATGCTTTATGCATAGCAACACGATTACTTTCAAAAGTATGAAAAGAAGACAGATTAACAAACCCTCAGATCCCACATTTAGTGTTTCCCATGTTACTTTGCTGTCAAACATGTTCCACAGTCTAACAGTTTTGTCCCATGATCCTGAGACCAAAAGTGGCTGAGAAGAACTGAACACTAGTCCAGAAATAGGTCCCTCGTGTCCAGCAAGTACCTGCAAAAGCAAAACACCACAAGCTAGCTTACACATGATATTTAACAATATTGACAACACTTTTCCATTGTGTAAACTCTCATACATCATAGAAATGACGTATAAATGTTCAAGAAGTGAATAGTGGTCTTATTGCAAAGGTACAAACCAATGGGGTTTAAAATTGCAAACAATAATTCGTGGAAAACTTTGTGCAAGAACCATACATACACACTTTATTACCACTTCCCCATGGAGGATTTTCAGAGGTAAAAATAAAAACTAAAATATACATGACATTACAGTTTGAACTATTTAATTAGAATAAATCATCAATAAAAACTAGAAGATAGATTAAGCAAAAATATTGCAAAGTACAATAAGAAAAATAAAACGAGTCTAAGAAAGAAGCCTGCACATAGCACAAGTCAATTCTAATCAAATATAGGGACAAAAATTACGTATGAGGCTTAACTTAAGACAACGTTTAAAATGGCTCACTGATTATCGTTAGGTGGCTGTTCTATAATAAAAATATGTTTGGCCGTTAGTTGTTCTAAAAAGAGGAATTTTGATCATTTGAGAATTTCTTGTTCTGCAGGCTAACCCTAACCCTCACCCTAATGCTAACCTTCGTAGTAGAGAAGCTCATTAAGCTAGAGCTATGTGGTCGAATTTCCTTTTTCCACTTACAATATGACAGGCAAATTTTTGGACTGCCTGTAACTTGCTTAAATTTGTTCAAGAGGTATTACTCCAGACAGTGAAGCAGTAGAACAGTTTACCGAAGATTAATACATTTATTATAGTAACAAGAGACTACTTGTCTAAAGAGTGCTTAACTCAATTAATTTGAGCCAGACGTGACATTTACGATGAGCAGAGAAAAAGAAAAAAACACTACATGATTTCCATTGTCTAGTAACCAATGAGCCTGCAAGAGATCATTTTGTTGTTCCCAAATTATGATATTGTTTAGTTGCGTTCAGTGGCACATCATAACATATCCAACAGGTCAAACGACTTCTACTGGTTCTCGGGATGCAAGTAAAATATGCATGACAAAGATAATTCTTCAAAGAAAATTCCTTAGAAACTTCAGAGCATCAGTTTTTTGGCAATTAGACAATTTGTAGGTTGCTGGAATAAAAACGTTTAGAACTGCAAGCTACCTCAAGAAGTCTTCCTGTTTTCATAGACCAAACAAAAACTTCAAATGTATCAAGTGAACCAGAGCAGACCACCTCTCCACTGCTATCAACAGTCAAACATGAGAACTGGACAGGATGAGGAGAAGTAAAGGTACGGAAATTTCTGTACCTGGAAAGATGAAAATAACATGATTGTTTTCTCCTGATGTTTAGTAATCTTGGTGAATTTATATATAATTGGGTAGACTAGCTAGCATGGTTCTTATGTTCCCTACAAGTTCCACCAAATGCACTGTTCAGGTCTGTTTTTAATGGATTAATTTTAATTAATTAAACTTAAATAATGTCAGTCTACGTAACTGAGTCAGAGAGCGGGTAGCCCTACATCCAAGTTTGTAAGAAAAAGTGATGGAGTTTTGTACCTTTTCAGGTCAAATGCCCTAACGGTACCATCCAGGGAACAACTCAAAACAACTTGACTGTTGGGTGTGAATATAACACCTGTCACTGAACATGTATGTTCACTGAATGTTACAAAACAGAAACCAGACATCACATTCCACAGCTTGACCTGAAAGTTCAAGAAAGTAAACTATTCAGTCAACTGCAGTGTTTTCTTGTAACCTTTTCGTGATAAACTTGCATTTGAGAAGTAATTATTGTAAATTGTTCATGTACAAAGTAAATTGTCAGTAACCACTCCTCTCAGGGCATTTTTGGGGTACCCATCCTATACTCTTCATTAAGCGCAGGGTTGTGAGATGAGGCTTTAGATGAATCATCTCCAGCTGAGAAGACTAGAATGTGTAACCATTTGCAGATGTCAGTTTCTTACAGACCTCAGGATTTGAAACCACATCTTCCTGCTCAGCACGTGTCCAGTTGAGCTAAATGGCAGTGATACATATTGTTGATGAGGTCCTTGGAATCAATACAGTGGCTTTTTCATAAGCTCAACATAGTTCTAGCTATTTGCTCAATCTTCCCTGTCTCTGCCACTTTTCTGTTACCACCCTGTTCATGTAATATGTGTGACAAAAACAAAAAAATTGTTTTCTTTACTAACAACAGCCAGCCCTTATGTCTGCTTCAGTTCTTTAGTCTTCTTCTTCCTTTCAGGTCTGATATAAGAATGTAAACAGCCTACCCCACTAAACAAATAGCTCCTTTGGCCTGATTTCACCTAATAAAACCAGAGCAAATATATCAAATGCCTAGGTTTTTCAGAGAAATAGTCACAATGTTATAGATTTTATTTATGTATCATTTAGAGAACCACAAAGTTAGCAGTAGATACTAACCTTGCAATCGTCTCCACCGGTTGCCACATAATTTCCATCTTGAGAATAGCAAATAGTGTTCATGTCATAGTAGTGACCTTGCTGTTTTAGTACATATGTTTCACTTTGCCACTCCCACACCAACAACTGTCCTAAGTTACTACAACCAAATGCCAGCCACTCCCCACTAGGGTTCACTGCCACTGTTTTGATTGTCTGTTGTGATATGCTGGACAAACACAATACACTCATTTTATTGATTATTTTCTACTAAAATAGTTCGTTGGTGTATAGCACGGAAATTCAACTCAACAGAAGAAATTATTGAAAAAAATTAATGAATACCTTAATGAATGGATAAGAACAAAGTCTGGTACTTCATGCAATGTGAACACACCACTTGAAAATCCAGCAATAAGGAGAGATGCTGATTTATGGAAGGCACTGGTTGTCAGCTGGGCAGGACTTTCTTGCTTGTAAAAATGCCTGGTTTTTAAAGATCAATGGACCAAACAAATAACTAATGGCAAATGATCATAAGTAGAGCTCAGCACTTAGCTGGAGTGAAACAAAGAAAAAAACACTGTAGACAGCTGACAGCTAAGACAGCTCAAAAAGGTCTCTGCAGACAGACAGTTACTTTACTACTTACTTGAAGAGCTTCTTCCACTTAACTGGATTTTCACTATCTGGAAAAGAATAGCAATTCCAAAAAAAATTAATTTCTATAATATAAATGGAACTTCATATAATAATAAAGTACTACTTTACTCTATCAACGTCTTACTTTAGAAAGCTGGTTTACTAACTTAGAACAAACGCCACTGAATCGTAGCCAACAGTTACCAGTGCCGTATAAACGACTTATTGACGAGATCAAGTAAAACTTCAACTACGAGGGAATGACAATTTGACTAACAATAGACGACTGTTCAACTGTGACAATAGACGGATCAAAACACACCAATTACTGATAACGAGTCTTCATAGCCAATAACATCACGGCTTAACTGACAGACGACCAATAACATCGCAACGTAATTGACCAATCAGATCAATAACCAGAGGATAATACCATCAACTGACGTGATAGAACTCACTTTGACTCTGAAGATGACTACCGCACAGGTTGTCAAAACGTCAGTCACGTACTGTCAACAACAACAGTCCTATTCAGGACTACGTTCACCCGGACGATCAAACTCAACCTACTTTTGAAATAATTATTTACCTAATAATTATTTACCTTCCTGACTGGGGTAAAGTTCAGCAAGGTGCACACTCTCCAGCCAAGTACTGCATTTCCAGCAAAGTAAAACACCATCCTGACTCACACTATATATCTGATTTAATGATGTTAAGACAAATGTACTGAATTAAATGTAAAGGCACTCATAGCTTGTACTATTGCCTCTCAAAATTTCTAGACTAGCAGTAGCTATTGGCTAGGAAGTGGGGGTGAAACTCCTTTCAAATGTAGGTGAATGCCCTTTAGTTACAGTGTCAACAAAAGGAGTCACTGCAGATCATGAAAAATGGATTGAACAAAACAGAAAACAAGACATATTTAATTTAATGATTTTATTCGCAGTTGCTCCCCGAATGGTAAGGAGAGAGGAGACGTTTGTATTCGCCAGCAAAGATACATTATATATTGAAACAGTAATGAGTGTGTACAGTCATGCACAAAGTCTTATTTTTCAATCGAATATTCAATCCGTGTACAATGACCAAGGGCCACTGATATGCAATACAACAAAATGAAACAGCTTAAATTGCCACTGGAGTTTAAAGCTTATTGAAGCTTTCGGATGACAAGGAAACCTAACATGCTTGGAAACGTATAAAAATGTAAAAACCATGCACTATAGTGAGACCTGAATAAACTTAAGTTACATTGATTTCTATACTTTGCTAGCACTCGTATCTTACCAAAAACTTGTCCCACACTAAACTGAGATCAGGCTCTACTTTCATTTTCCTCGGTAAATAGATTCTAGGCCAGCAAGGCGAATCAAAAAGTGTACCATTTTAGTACAGTACTTGTGTACCTGAATTACGTGTGCTTGCAATAATGATTTGTTGAAAACTCAACCCCAGGGCCCTCCGGCCACATACCATGCATTTAGTTGGTACAACATGGGCATCTCAAGAATTTCAACAGAATCGAGAAAAGTCTATTGCTGCTGACCAAGAATAGGTGGCAGGCTCGTTTTGTCACCCACAATAAACAAAAAAATTTCTAGATATAACCACAATTTGCCTTAAATTTCTATAACGGCCACCTTCACAAGTACATCACACAAGTGGTAGTTAACAAGGATACATCCAAAGAGTTTTGAGCAAAATAACATCCTATTACAGTATTCTGGTGGCCAGACAAGGTGACTGGAAGAAAACCATTTATTGGAAATAACGAAAAGATGCGACTTGTCATGTCTCTGCTTCCCACCACAAAAAACCTGCAAAAATTGAACATAAATTTGAACACTAACAAGAATCAACTCACAACATTAAAACACTCCTTTATACTTCAAATTTGCTTGCTTGAGGCAAGTCGGGTGGTTTGCAGTCATCTTAGGCTTAATGCTCAGATATATTCTTTGCCAACTTAAGTTAAAATACACTGCAGTCATGAAATTTGAAATTTCTTTGTAAGCTGCTCACGTTTTAATTGACATAGTCCCAAACAAGCTTGACGACTGAAGGCCTAATAACTTTAGAATACTAAGATATCATATATAAAATATTTGTAGCTTCTCAACCTCATCATTTAGGGTCATATATATCATGATGTACTAACCTGGAGTCTGATGACCAGTCAATACAAACAGTTTCATCATAGAGACCAGTATATGTTCTATGAACAGAAAATGGTGCAAACTCTTTGCTGTGGGCAGGAGCATGCCAAACCTGCACATGCTTTCCATAAGTAACTGCAATGTATCTAGCAGAGATATACCAATAATCAATGCCTAAGGGTCAAAAAATCATTAAGTCACACTTGAACTATACAACATCCTCGTTTTCCCTTTTACTTTTGAGTGATTTAAGATGGCTTTTGGGTGATATTTGACAAAGATGCTACACCACTTTAATTTCTTCTTTTCTTGCTCTAAAATGCTCTACCTGATGAAATCCTCAAACCAACCTGTCAGCTTAGCAATTTCCCTGCTAGCAGAAGCTTCTTTTCCTGGTATTTGGCAGGCAAGAATACCAGGGAACAGGTCTCTGCTAGCAGCATAACCTGAGATCAGGCGTTATTTTTATTTTTATTTTTTGGTTTGCTTCTTTGGCTTGAGAGGGAAAAAAATAACGCCTGATACATTCATTTAACAAGCCGTCAACCGCCCCGTAATTTACATAATCTAACGTCTCTGTGACCTGTCATGTTATTAGCCAATAAGCGTTTACCATACAGGAATCAAATTCTGGCGCGAATAATGTCTCTTCTGAAATCAAGTTTAGGGAAAAGAAAATTTTTAAGTACATCCATGTTCAGATGGTGGTTCAATTCCTAAAAAAAATTTAAATGTGTTGTTTTTGTGATGAAATACTGCTAGCTGGAGCTGCCGTACCTCTATTTAACAGCTACAAATAATAAAAAATTTGCTGGTTAAAGCTTGTTGACTTCGTTCTGTGCCGAAAGCAGTGAAAAAGAAAATTACGCTGAAGCACCATATTTCACGAACTGAAAGGTGTTGTGAAAGCGAAGATCACTCAGGATAGTTCGCAGATTTCTGAAGGAGGAATTACAGTCAAACCAGGTCACGATTCCATTCATGAATTGATTATTTGAAAAGCCGAACCCGTTTGTCGCTTCTGTAACTTGTAGCCGGTATCAAATTGCATTTAAATGATCGGTGAAGTTTTGACTGCAACTTTTTAGTATACGATGAGATGGAAAATATTTCAATGCATGAAACTTCTATTTAGGCATTCTAAAAATTCAAGAAAACTGAGCCGGCAGAAATTTCATAACGAACTCGCGTGTGTATTCACTGCTCATTACGCAAGCAAAAATGCAGACTGAAATCAACAAAAACTAACGGATGGCGGCATTTTGGCCAATCGGAACAGTGCAAATCATCTGTATTGTTTCCCATCCAATCAGAAAAAAGTCCAGATTCTGGCTTTATTTTTACATGTGATCTGACAAAGAAATGTATCATGCCCTCTTCCCGTGAGAGACATAAAGGGATAATAGGGAGAGGGCATGATCTCAGGCTACTAGCAGCATGGCAGTATTTGGCAATCTTTGGGCATATCACAATTATTCACTTTTGCCAAAAAAATCTTCAAAGGTCCATTTAAAGCTGTGACACAATAATGAGTTAATAAGACACTGCATCTGTACCTACATATCTGCAACCCTCCAGAGTTAATAACTAACATATATTCAGTGTTTCCTAGTAACCTCCATGAAGTATAGAAGACTTTGTTACAAAACACAGCTCTGAACGCCAAAGAGAACAATATACTGGTATTCAGCTGTTTTACTTACCTTCCATTTGGACAAAATTTTAAATCAAAAACTGGCTTTTTGAAGTTAAACTGATGAAGAACAGTTTTCCTCTTAAGATTGGCTACAATGCACCTTCCATCTGCAACGAGAGAGAAGTGTCCTTGCTATCTTAAACACATGATAATATTACCAAACCATGTAAAGAAATAAATGTTAGTGTTTTATCAGTGTTATAAATACTCCCCCCTTAATTCTGCCACCACCTGGGCAACAATAGGATGAGCTTTGCTTATGAGAAAAAAAACATAAATGCAGGCCGCTGTGTTTGTACCAAATGTCTTATTATCACTTACGTGCTACCAAATTCTGCCATACAAACCTTCATCAACTGCAATGAGTATCTTGCCATCTGGACACAAACTAATTCTTGAAATATTCTTATGGTTTTCAAAAGGTAGAGTCCATGATCTGTTACTAATACAACAAAAAGAACATGAAAATTAAAATATTTTATGTAAACCTCGCATTATGTGGGGTCACAATCAAGTTGCAGGCCCACATCAGTTAGCCTGGTCCATCAAATTGAGGAGTAACATTTGTTGAATGGCCACCACATATCACACGGTGCAAAGAAAATCATTTTTACAGCTTGCCATTCGGGCAAGCTGCATGAAGCTAGCATTTACTAGCCCAGACATCATTTCAACTAGCCCCAAAAGCTTTTTGATGAGCAGAATTGATTTCACAGTTCTTCTGTTATTTGAATTCCTCGAAAAACATCACTTGCCCATCGGGCAAGTTAAAAACAGAATTCTCTAGCCCGATAGCAAAATCCACTAGCCTGCGGGCTATCGGACACTACTTTCTTTGCACGTTGTATCATCAAGGATATTTCTTTTATTGAGTCTTCCCAAAGAAGCGGTGCATGATTTATTTTGAACGAATGCTGTTATGCATTCCTGCTACAGTTGCAGATCAAAACTGGCAATTGTTGAAGGAACAGCGCACAATCGAAAAATCTGACAATATTCTACAAGATTAACTCCAATATAGCTACTATTGCTTTTCCAACCAAACTTATCAGTTTCAGAGGATCCATACAAAATTAATATTCTAGCACAATCCCACTCTGGAACAGTCTCTAATTTTCCGTTTTATATATTCTGGCTCAGTTTTATCCTCCATTTGACGTTTCATTTCTTTTGTTTTTGGGTATGGTAATGTATAATGAGTTTGAAACAAAGAAAAACTGAAACCACTGATAAAATTGACCCACAACATATACATCATTCCATCTACATCTACAGCATCTACATATATTAGGTCGGTAAAAATCGCTAAGACATCACACCATCCATAAAATAATATAAAATAATGATATAAAATTTAATAACAGTGACTATGTACAGGAGCCCATAACCCGGAGCATCTAACTTCCATACTGCGCCTATGCAACGACGTTTTCACAAGTCGGTTTATTTTTAGATTTAAGCTTTTCCCACGAACTGCTTTTGAAAAACCAAACACTAGCAATTGCATCATCAATGATAAACTTTTAATACGTAACTAGGACAACTCCTTCACATTAAAAAAAACATAGCGGACACACGTGAGGAATCTTCAGAGGAGTCTTCTGGCAGTACTTCAAACGACATTTTAAGTATTTACACGGAAACTAGCAGTTCAGAAGAAGATTTACAAAACCTAGCCAGGACGTCTACTTCATCGACGAGAATGCATAATTCACGCAAAGGGAATTAAATCGAAATCATCTTCGAAATAGCTGACTATGAAAAGGTCCAAGCGAGCTACTAACAGTCTAAACGACGATCAAATGCAGGAATTGACCTCGTGAGACAGTTATTTTTTGCGGGAAAAGCTTATCTAAAAATAAACTCACTTGTAAACACGCCGTTGCACGAGTTTTTGGCAGTTGAACGCTCCGGGTTATGGGCTCCTGCTATGTAACTACTACTTAAGAAAAGCTGACAAATTAGATTTCAAAGACTCCAATGAAGTTGATGATACAATGGCCCCAGGGAGGCAGTTCCAGTCAGCTATAGTTCTCAGAAAACACAAACATTTAAAAATGTCCTTATTTGCATATGGCACGTTTGTCTCCCGGAATGTTGAATTAAATATTTTTGGCTATCTATATCAACAAGACAATGAGTTAGTTTGTACATAAGTGTTAACCTAAAGTGTCTTCCTCTCATTTCCAGCGTATCCCACCCAAAGTCTTTAATCATGTCTGTAATGCTTGCATATCTATTATTAGTAAAAGCCAACTAGTGGTCTATTATCAATGCTGTGTTCTGATTGGTTGAGCTACTACTAGGCTATATGTTATAGCCCACTAGTAGCGAAAAGCGCCGGCTTTGAAAACCAAAACAATGGCGGCTGAATCACGTTTTCCTCATGGCCTCTGAGTCAATAGCCCATTCGGCCTTTGGCCTCATGGGCTATTGACTCAGAGCCCATTTGGGCTTGAGGAATAATTGTTAATAATCCCATGAGTTACTTATAATAGTTCAAACAGGACAGATGGCAAATTGTGGTTGCTAGAAATATCTGAGTCCTAACTGTTCATCAGTACTTTAGGATGCCTAAAACATTACTCCTTTCTTTATTTGTTTGTTTTATTCAGTCTTCTAAGTCTATGCAGCTTAATGGTAACTCTACAAGCTAGCTATTGACAAGCAATTACCAGATCAGTTTACTAATGGCGATAATATTGTAGTTTCATAAGTAGGTGGGATATGATAGTCTGGACAAGTATAGTCCTGAATAGGTCGACTGTTGTTGACAGTGACTGATGTTTCAACAACCTGTGTGGTAACCATCTTCGGAGTCAAAGTGAGTTGTATTATGTCAGTTGTTTGTATTAAACTCTGATTATTGACCTGATTGGTCAATTACTAAAGTAAGTCATGATGTTATTGGTCATCTGTCAGTTAAGCCAAGATGTTATTGACTATGAAGACTGTGATTGGTCAGTTTTGATCCATCTTTTGTCACAGATTATCTGTTGTTTATTCTCAGTCAAATTGTCAGTTGCCCAGTCATTCTGTGGTAGTCAGATTTGCTTGAGCCATCAATAATTCACCTATATGGTGCTGGTAACTGCTGAATGTGATTCAGTGGCATTTGTTCCAATTAAGTCAGTAAACCAACTTTCTAAAGTGAGTCATTGATAGTAGTCTGTAGAATACATAATGCATGTCATAGAGTCCCAGCCGATTCAATGTTTTGTCTGTAAATGATGTTCAACAATGTGATTGTTGACATCACCATTTCTTGTTGCCCTCTTGTGTTTAGACAGATGTGTACTAAGGTTTGATGGTCTCACCAATGTAAGTGAGACCTGCAATCTATAGGGGCCAATACATGTAACAAAACTTCAGTTATTCGGAGCTTGAACATACAACACGGCCGACAACAAGAACGAACAGCAACAAAAAAGTTGAAGTCCAATAAGCCGGCTTAGTAGCTCCAATAAGCTACCCTGACATAAGAATGAGTTAAATCAACTTAAGCTAACATCATGTTAACTTTAACAGTGCATTTAAAAAACCGTACAGAAATATTACTGAGGCAAGGTTATCCAGATCCTTGATAACAAATGTTTACACCACTTACTTTTTAAGGTCAAAGACAGATACTCTGTTCCCTACTGGACTCAAAATACAGTCGCCATCCTCATTGAAAACAGTATTACCTTGCCGATAGACGGTGCCTAGCAAGTTAGAAAACTAAACAGGAAGCACAATTAGAACTATATATACTGTCTGCTTGAATGACTTCAGAGATTCAGGAGATTGTTCAGATACATACCTTGAACGAAAGTGCCATTTCAAAACATGATGATTTTCCACGTGTAGCATTCTACCTGCTTGGCCCCAGAGCAACTCGGCTTTATCTGCACTGGTAATAAACCCGCGTTCATATACGGTACACCAATTATATACCAACATAAAAGATCCAAGTAAAATACCTTCACTTCACATGTAACGTAACTTAGACTACGAGTAGTCCCCATTTTTTCCCCGGGATAGTAGCCCTAACCCTAACCTTAGGGATCATTTCGGATTCGACGCGAAAAAAATGGGGATCATTTCGGGACTGGAGATAATATAGGGGTAGCGAAAAAGGGCAATTTCATATATCCCATGATGCATCGCTTCATACTATATTATCAAGCTTCCGAACGCACGTGATTCTATCAGTTCTCATAGGTTCAAACAGGGATGCGACAGTTGAACAACCGGTCAGTATAAAATATGGACTGCGGACTGCGGACTACGGACTGCGGACTACGGACTGCGGACTGGGTATAAAATACGGACTAGGTATAAAACATGGACTAGGTATAAAACGCGGACTGCGGACTGCGGACTGTGGACTGGGTATAAAACACGGACTACGGACTACTTTGGTAAAAACGGTGCTAATTGGATCTAGGTAAGGAAAAATAAGATCAAAAGATCGCTAAATAGCAAGACACGTGAGTTAAAGTTGTAAATACTCCTATAAATTCTTGGTGGAGGTGTGCCGCCCGGTTCTCTGAATCATGAGCCGGATCAAAATCCTATTTTCTTCACCCATTGTTACACCTTGTCTCGGTCTCTAACAATCATGAAAGGGGTCAGGATTAGGGGGGGTACTCCATTATATAAGGGAAGGGTAGGGATTTTGGTCCTTTTTGGTCTGAAAACACTTTGCCCGTTTTGGTCTGGAATCGGGTATGGTTTTCGAGGGAACTACGGGAGCGTACATGAATGGACGTATTTATCGTTTCAATTCCAAATGATAAAAACGAAATAGAAATATGCGAATTCGAAATGCATTCGGAGAATTTTTTTGTTTCCGCTCTAACTTGGTAATGATGACATAATTTCTGCCTAATTAGACCTAACGTGTTCCAGACTCCGAGATAGTTGGGTCCGCTGAATTGAGAAAGCGCGAACACGAAAATAAAACGGGAAAAAACTGGGGAGTCTCCCCAAGTATCTGAGAGCCTGGAACAGGCTAAATTAGGCCAGGTCCGAAAATGGGTATGGATTTTAGAGATCTGTTCTGAAAATGGGTGTGGAAAATGACATTTTTTGGTCACCAATAAGGTCAGGGTTCGGAGAACCGGGCACCACCCCCCACCAAGAATTTCCAGTAGTACCCCCCTCCGGGGATCAGGAACAGGGTGTAAATCATGTCATCATAATCATCGCTTGGAATATAACGATGGATGACTCATTTCGGTTATAATCAGCGAAGGAAGCTAGGGTGAATATTTTCCCGAAATTTTGACTTTGATTTCCTTGTCTCCCTCTTAAAAAATTGCTTTCGATGAAAATAGTTAATATCCTTCTTGAGTGAAACGCTAGGAGGTGTCGACTTCAATGTTTTATTGTTTTGGTTTTTGTTGTTTGAAAATTGGACTTGTGAAAGTTACAAAAAAACAAATAACATGTGGCGTGTCTTCCAGTAGCGTTTACAGCCGAGATGTAAATCAAATCTTAGCAAACCAAAGGTTGAAAAGACTACTTAAAGAACAAAGGCTGTTATAGCACTGTCTCAGTTGCACGTTAACCCTGAGATTTTAACAAAACCTGCGGGATAAAAACGCTAAACGCGCAATTGCAGACAAAAAAAGGAAAAGTGAGAAAAGAATTGTAAAATGTGAACAAAAAAAAAGAAAGAAAAAAGGCGAAAGAGGCGAAGTAGTACACACAAGCATTAAGAGAAGTAAAGTATGCTTATACTAAGAAAAATGACTTCAGTTTAGAAGCCAATTCAATTATTCTTAAAATGAAGAAAACAGAACCAATTTTTTTGTAATCCTGCCTATCAAAACAACGAGCTAATGTTTTTTTTTTCCTTTCCTCCTTGGAGTTTTAAATGCATCTTTTTCATATGTTTTTCTTCGTAAGATCAGTTATTTTTTTTACCTTAATTTTATTGCAGTTATTTTCTTTTCGTATCATTCCTGGCCCGCCTAGACTAGCTATAGCTGTTTGCGGTGCCAGGACACTTGTAAAAATATTCTTTAGAAAATTTATAATAAAGTCTTGAATTCTCTCTTGAAGTCTCGAACGCAGCAATACTAGAGGCATTGAGTTCTGAATTTCAGAGCTAAGGGAATTAGATAATTTAAAACACAAGTGAAAATTTCCTTACATTTGTCCTGCAGTAGGGCAAGCGGAACGAATTCTTACTTCAAGCGTTGCGTGAATGTACGGCACAGTTAAAACATGTTTTTGTCCCTATCGTTTTTTGTAAAGATACTTAGTTTGATAATATCTTCAAATTTTACAATTCGTAAGTTCACAAAAAAAAGATTTGGTATACTCCTGGTAGAATATTCTAACAACCCGTTCTTGAGGAGTAATCAAACGTTTAAGATTGACTGATGACTTGAGTCCCCGACACTCGCACAGTAATGTAAATATAAAAATAAGGATAAGGTAAACTATAATAGGGAGTGCATAAGGAGTTCATTATGAAGGCAGAAACTTGATTTGTGAATATTGCCCACTCATGATTGTGAGACTTTTCTTGTTACGTTAGCCGCGTAAGATTCAGAGTTTGCGGATTTCAGTTTGACGTTGCTGAGTCTGAGGTGTACAGGAGGCAATGAATTTCATTATCAACTTCGTCATAAAAGCCGTCTTAAGACGATCTCCAACTCACGGTTTTCAGGTAGCTTAGGAAAGCAATAGAGTGCAGAGTCGGTTCTTAAACTGTGTTTGTCTGATCTGCGTTTGGCTCAGGCCTTTATGTCATTGAGTTGTTTTTATTATTTTGTTCTAAATATCCTGATCTGCGTCGATCGGTTTTGAAAGTAGAGCAAGAGAAAAGAAAGCTACAAGCACCCCAAAATGACCTATCAGTAAGCATTAGCATTAAAACATCACAATTTAACCAAAATACAGTAACTGGAAGCTTGTTAAATTTTAAGGCAACTTTTCGTGCCGTAAACCTACACCAGTGTATCAAAGAAAGCAAACTGTAGTTTTCCAACAAGTTACATTGTATTTACATATAATGTCATTTCTGTTTACTTTCATTAGGGAAACGTCACATCAGCTTCCCTTTCTTGTGCCGGACAGAACGAAGACCCGGTTGACACCTTGTTTGAAGTCCCTGACAGCCAGGGTAATTTTTACCATGCCTTTATAGAAGTATGCGACAAGGTTTTCAGTGGAACCCCAAGACAAACCATCAAGTCGCGCATGCGAACATTGGGACTTAATCTAGTGCGATGTCCTACTACCGTCCTTGACATTGTTAGAAAGGCCAGGCCAGGACTTTGTAATTACAAAGTCATTTCGCTTATATCTAAGCGAGACGTCTTTGTCTTACAAGCTTACCACCAATCGCGCGTACAAAACGAAAGTAGCAGGTGTTTTAACCTAGGCAATGCTAATTCATGCGCCAGTTACCTGCAGAAAGCTAGTCTAGACCTTTCATTCATAGATTTCAGTCAAAGGGCAAAGAACCAGTCACTCGCATTGCCTTTCCGCGATGTAACCGGTACAAATCTGCCTACGGGACAAAATTTATCTGCCCTCTGTCACGCTTGCAAAACAATGCCCACCACTGCTACTGACACCGAGAATAGATGTCACTCTTTCCTTGGGACGACGGCTGCTCAGATTCCGTGGTATTCTGAAAGCGCCTGTGCGAGTAAGTCGGCCGACCGGCGATCGAAAGAAAGGGGCGAAGAATTGGAAGAAGATGAACAGCAACGACGACAACAAGAGCAAGAAGAAGAAGAAGAAGAAGAAGAAGAAGAAGAAGAAGAAGAAGAAGAAGAAGAAGAAGAAGAAGAAGAAGAAGAAGAAGATGACGACGACGAAGAGGAAGGGGAAGAAAAAGAGGAAGAGACAGGACAAGAAGAAACACTGAAAGAAACGGAGAGACAAGAAAAAAAAGGAGTAGCGGTGGAAGAAAGTGACGAAGAAGGAGAGAACTTGAGTTTTGAGCCCGGCGAATCAGGCGCCGACGTGAAACTAGAGGAGGTAGAAAGTATCTTAGAAAGTCGAGGACTAGATCCCGTGCCATTTAAAAGGGTCGTGAGGGAAATCAAAGCGATGAAAACCTTTTATACTAGCGAGTTTAATCACAAGAGGCGCTCTGGCAAAATAACAATGACGACGTGGCTAAAACTCGTCGAACGCCTTGTCACTTTCCTAAGTTTCGGCGCGAGTAAGTTGGAGGTGACGCCCTCGTTAGCCCTGGTAAAAAACCTGCCGCTCGTAGAGTCTTTCATTAGCCACCTGCGTACGGACAGGCGAGTGCAAAATTCCACTGCCGCCTGTTATATTCAATCTTTGGTGACCACTTCAAACTTCCTGGGTGCAGACCAAAGGTACGGGGATTTTCAAGGTGACTCTGTCTCTAGTGACCTTCGCGCGCTCAGACGGCAATTGGAAAGAGCAAAAGCCTTCACAACTAGCATGCCGGACGTCAGACTTTTATGGCCTCAGTACCAAGAGTTGGTTCGAAGCCTTCACTGCCAGTACCAGGACGCACCTGCCGCAAGCAAGGCGCGGCTGCACATGGATTTTACGATGCTTCTCCTTTTCGCTGTCAATCCAGGTCGAGGCAGAGAACTGAGGACTCTTCGCTCGCTGACGGAAATGCCAGAAGGCGGCGTGCAGACTCTGTTAAGAGGCTTGCCCGAAGGCGACAATGTAGTAGTCATCTCAGACAACGGCCCAGTCTGGTTGGTTGAGACGGGGTACAAGACCGCCGCAAAATATGGCCCAAACGTCGTGCAGTTTGATCAAGAGTTTGATTTCCTGACACACCACCTCAGGGAATACAGAACAAGGTCGAGACCAAGACTGCTTTGCAGAGAGAGCAGTCACGACTACTTCTTTGTGAACAAACGCGGCAT